TTGATGTGGAGCCATGGTCTTTGTGAAGGACACAGCAGGAGATAGGAGCTGACTCTGCTCCTCTTTCTACTGCACAGAGAAAAACTTACCTCGACTTTACCCTGAGGTCCTGAGGATGAGGTCCTGAGGCTGAGGTCCTGAGGCTGAGGTCCTGAGGCTGAGGTCCTGAGGCTGAGGTCCTGAGGCTGAGGTCCTGGCAATTGAAACGCTTTTCATCCTCTGTCGTCTATTCTATTCCCCCCGTGAGTTTAATGCGTTCCTCCTCGTGTGTGTTTACATTCCTCCGGATGCTGGCGTCACCGCAGCAGTGGACACACTCGCAGAACAGCTGTCGGGGGCGAATCGCAAACACCCGGACAGATAGGTTGTGGTGCTCGGGAACTTTAACCAGGCTCATCTGAGTCGGGCTCTCCCCAAATTCAGACCGCAAGTGACATGTGCTACTAGAGGGGGAAATATTCTAGATCACTGCTACTGTACCATCCGTGAGGCATACCATTCTGTCCAACGTACTGCTCTGGGCAAGGGTGATCACCATCTCATCCATCTGATCCCTCGCTATAGGGAGTGTGGTCCAGTGAGGCAAGTGAGAGACTATGTGCCTGGCTGGAGAATGCTGGCTGTGACCAGGACTTTGTTGAGTGGGCGGGGCCTGAGGCTGGAAACAATCTGGATGAATACACAGATACTGTGACATCATTTATCAGCCTCGGCGAGGAGGTCTGTGTCCCCCTCCGCCACAGGAAGATCTACAACAACGACAAGCCCTGGTTCTCAGCCCATCTCAGAAGGCTGCGGTCAGAGAAAGAGGTGGCCAGGCGGAGCGGCGACGTGGCCCTGTTTAGGCAAGCCAAATATGAGTTTGCCAAAGCGGTGAGGGAGGCGAAACTCCGCTTCTCGGAGAAACTGCGGCGGCAGGTCTCTGAGGGGAACTCCTCCTCTATCTGGAAAGGACTTAAAGCCATCACCAACTACAGGCCCAGGTCCCCGCAGGCATCTGACAACCTCCCCCTCGCCAACGAGCTCAATGAGTTCTACTGCCGCTTTGAGAAAGATTGTTTCCCCCCTGCCAAGACCGGTGCCCCGCAGGGCTGTGTCCTGTCCCCACTACTGTTTTCCCTGTACACCAACAGCTGTGTCTCTCTCCACCCGTCGGTCAAGCTCCTCAAGTTTGCCGACGACACCACCTTGGTGGGCCTCATCTCCAAGGGGGATGAGTCGGCCTACAGGAGGGAGATCGAGCGGCTGCGTAACTGGTGCAGCAACAACAACTTGGAGCTGAATGCTCTGAAGACAGTGGAGATGGCGGTGGACTTTAGGAAGGACCCAACCCCGCCTCCTCCTGTCATGCTGGGTGGCACTCAGGTGGAATCTGTCCAGTCCTGCAAGTTCCTGGGGATAATTATCTCCAGGGACCTGAAGTGGGAATCCAATATCACAGCCCTCCTGAGAAAAGCCCAGCAGAGGATGTACTTCCTTCGTCAGCTGCGGAAATACAGACTGTCGAGGGCCATGATGATCCAGTTTTACTCGGCCATCATAGAGTCTATCCTCACTCACTCCATCATCACCTGGTTCCCCGCTGCAGCTGCGAAAGACCTGGTCAGTTGCTGCAGCGGGTGATACGCTCTGCGGAGAGGGTGATTGGCCATCCCCTGCCCTCCCTTAAGTCCCTGCACGACTCCAGGGCACTGAGGAGGGCGAGAAAGATCATGGCTGACCCCTCCCACCCTGGTCACGGCCTCCTCACCCTGCTCCCCTCTGGGAGGAGGATGCGGCATCTGGGGGCTAAGACAGAGCGCTACAAAAACAGTTTTTTCCCCTCAGCGGCCAGGCTGCTCACTGACGCTGGTTTCCCTTCTTCCCTTGCCCCCGAGGAACAAGGACTGAACACTATGGCACTTTATTACAATATCTATTTTATTTATATCTCTTGCACTATGTGATAAAGATGAATGCACACTGTCATGTTGCCAAGTCAAACTCCTGTGTGTTTTGCACAATGGTAAATTAAGTAATCTGAATCTGAGGCTGAGGTCCTGAGGCTGAGTTCCTGAGGCTGAGTTCCTGAGGTGAGGTCCTGAGGCTGAGGTCCTGAGGCTGAGGTCCTGAGGCTGAGGTCCTGAGGCTGAGGTTCTCAGGCTGAGGTTCTCAGGCTGAGGTCCTGAGGCTGAGGTCTTGAGGCTGAGGTTCTGAGGCTGAGGTCCTGAGGCTGAGTTCCTGATGGGCGGCACGGTGGCTGAGTGGATAGCACTCTCGCCTCTCAGCAAGTAGGTCCTGGGTTCGAATCCCGGTTGGACCAGGGCCTTTCTGAGTGGAGTTCGCATGTTCTCCCTGTGTCTGCGTAGGTTTCCTCCGGGTGCTCCGGTTTCCCCTACCACTAAAAATATGTACAATAGGTCTGGCATGTGCCTCCTGTACTGGCCCCACTCCCAAAAATCACAATTGTAAACCGCTTTGAGACTCCGATGTGCAGTGAAAAGGCGGTATATAAATAAAGATTACTACTATACTACTGATGCTGAGGTCTTGAGGCTGAAGTTCTGATGCTGAGGTCCTGAGGCTGAGGTCCTACAGCTGAGGAAGAGTCTTTCATCCTCCGCAGCTTTTCTGCTCAGGCTGAGTCAGCAGAACACGCAGGAGCTCAGGGACCAGCAAGAGCTCAGGGACCAGCAGGAGGGTTAGGGATGTGTAGATCCTGCAGATGACTTTGGGCGTGGACAGGCTGCTCTTGTGTAACATGTGGATTATTCCATTAGATTCAATACAAAGCTGTCAATTCACCAACGACAGATTAGAGAATCAAAATGCAGCGATTGCAAACACACAGAACCTTGATCCATGGGGAGCGGGACGACCACTGTCCAGGGTCTACAGCCTCAGTCCTGGGTTTACAGCCTCAGTCCAGGGTCTACAGCCTCAGTCCTGGGTCTACAGCCTCAGTCCAGGGTCTACAGCCTCAGTCCAGGGTCTACAGCCTCAGTCCTGGGTTTACAGCCTCAGTCCAGGGTCTACAGCCTCAGTCCTGGGTCTACAGCCTGAGTCCTGGGTCTACAGCCTCAGTCCTGGGTCTACAGCCTCAGTCCTGGGTCTACAGCCTGAGTCCTGGGTCTACAGCCTGAGTCCTGGGTCTACAGCCTCAGTCCTGGGTCTACAGCCTCAGTCCTGGGTCTACAGCCTGAGTCCTGGGTCTACAGCCTGAGTCTTGACTGCTGCTGTGATTTGGGGCGATTAACATACACAGTTAACCACTTCCTGAAGCGTCTGCGATGATGGTGTTTATGTGACTCTCGGGCCTCATCTTTCACTATATTAACGTCTGAGTGACGGATGGGGACTGCGGCTGGGGGGGACTGACGGATGGCTCTGCAGATTGTTGTGCACCTGTCACAGCTGTGATCATCCCTGAGGTCAGAGGTCGTCAATCCTCCGCTGAGTCAGGGCCGAGCCAAGGCCGACGGCTTCATCAGCAAACACTTCATAAAGAGACACGTTAGCCCCTGACACTGTGTTAGCTTTGGGGACCTCAGACCAGGACTGGGTCAGCTTTGGGGACCTCAGACCAGGACTGTGTTAGCCTTGGGGACCTCAGACCAGGACTGGGTCAGCTTTGGGGACCTCAGACCAGGACTGTGTTAGCCATGGGGACCTCAGACCAGGACTGGGTCAGCTTTGGGGACCTCAGACCAGGACTGGGTCAGCTTTGGGGACCTTAGACCAGGACAGTGTTAGCTTTGGGGACCTCAGACCAGGACTGGGTCAGCTTTGGGGACCTCAGACCAGGACTGTGTTAGCTTTGGGGACCTTAGACCAGGACTGTGTTAGCTTTGGGGACCTTAGACCAGGACAGTGTTAGCTTTGGGGACCTCAGACCAGGACTGTGTTAGCCTTGGGGACCTTAGACCAGGACTGTGTTAGCTTTGGGGACCTCAGACCAGGACTGTGTTAGCCTTGGGGACCTCAGACCAGGACTGGGTCAGCTTTGGGGACCTTAGACCAGGACAGTGTTAGCTTTGGGGACCTCAGACCAGGACTGTGTTAGCTTTGGGGACCTTAGACCAGGACTGTGTTAGCTTTGGGGACCTTAGACCAGGACTGTGTTAGCTTTGGGGACCTCAGACCAGGACTGGGTCAGCTTTGGGGACCTCAGACCAGGACTGTGTTAGCTTTGGGGACCTTAGACCAGAACATTAGTCCTGGTCTCAGGTCTCTGTCCTGAAGTCCTCTCACATTAGTCCTGGTCTCAGGTCTCTGTCCTGAAGTCCTCTCACATTAGTCCTGGTCTCAGGTCTCTGTCCTGAAGTCCTCTCACATTAGTCCTGGTCTCAGGTCTCTGTCCTGAAGTCCTCTCACATTAGTCCTGGTCTCAGGTCTCTGTCCTGAAGTCCTCTCACATTAGTCCTGGTCTCAGGTCTCTGTCCTGAAGTCCTCTCACATTAGTCCTGGTCTCAGGTCTCTGTCCTGAAGTCCTCTCACATTAGTCCTGGTCTCAGGTCTCTGTCCTGAAGTCCTCTCACATTAGTCCTGGTCTCAGGTCTCTGTCCTGAAGTCCTCTCACATTAGTCCTGGTCTCAGGTCTCTGTCCTGAAGTCCTCTCACATTAGTCCTGGTCTCAGGTCTCTGTCCTGAAGTCCTCTCACATTAGTCCTGGTCTCAGGTCTCTGTCCTGAAGTCCTCTCACATTAGTCCTGGTCTCAGGTCTCTGTCCTGAAGTCCTCTCACATTAGTCCTGGTCTCAGGTCTCTGTCCTGAAGTCCTCTCACATTAGTCCTGGTCTCAGGTCTCTGTCCTGAAGTCCTCTCACATTAGTCCTGGTCTCAGTTCTCTCCATGGCTTTGCACCAAAGTACATAAGTGACTTGTTAGTGCCATATGAACCAACTGAGGAGCACAGGGACTGGACTCCTGCTGGGACTCTGAGGAGCACAGGGACTGGCCTCCTGCTGGGACTCTGAGGAGCACAGGGACTGGCCTCCTGCTGGGACTCTGAGGAACACAGGGACTGGCCTCCTGCTGGGACTTTGAGGAGCACAGGGACTGGCCTCCTGCTGGTCCCAGAGTCAAGACTAAACTTGAGGAGGCAGCGTTTAGATTTAGGCTAAAATCGGGAGCAGTCTTCCTGAAAATGTGAGACAGACTTCTTCGCTGACAATGTTTAATGTTGTTTCGTTAAAACACTTGGAGTTGCATTGTGTATGAAATGTGCGATACAAATAAACTTGCCTAACTGCAGGACAAGGCCTGATTAGTACTGTCAGGGGAGACCTCTGAATCTAAGCAGGGCAGGGCCTGGTTAGTGCTTTGATGGGAGACCTCTGGGAACAGCAGGTGCCACAGTGGGGCGGCTGCGGCTGTAAAGTGCCAATCTGTGGTTGTGTCCTTAGGCAAGACACTTCCCCCACATTAGAATGAGTCTGGTGTGTGTGTGAATGGTTGGTGGCGGTGGGAGGGGCTGATGGAACAGACTGGTTGATTCAGTCAGTGTGTCCCAGGGCAGCTGTGGCTACAGTAGTTTTCACCATTGTGTTTGGAGAGGAAGAAAAATGAGCCAATGCTTTGATATTTGTATTATTATAATTATTATTATTACAATTATTGTTATGATCATTTGTATTATTATTATTAGTTTGTCCTTCGTCTGTTGTTTGTGGATGAAACAAAGCGTGTTGAAAGTAGTCGATGGAAAAGTCTCTCTCTGGAATCTGGGTCATGGCTGTAAATAAGAACCTGTCACACGAGGAGTTAACCAAAACAAATGGATGACGGGTGGCCTGACCCGCCCCCTGCCCTCAGACTTCAGCGAGGGGGCGGAGCCTATTGGTTATGAATCTGTCAATCATTTATCTCCCTTAGTAACGGGGTCAGACTGGGGTTTCCAATCTGTGGTCCCTCATCCGCCACATCAGCTTTGAGTCACGTCTTGTTGATTCCTGGTCTGGTTTAAAGAGGAATAATACTTTTGATTGTGACCTGGCCTAGCCTAACTTTAGCATCTTTAACTTTAACTCTGTTGCATCAGGGACTTCAGGACAGTCTTGCTTCTCATTCAAGTTAATGGGAGTAAACCTTCAGTCTTGTTACGTTTCTGTGTTGAGATTTAAAACTAGGTCTGACATCGATAACAATTCAATTCTTTTCAACTATCTCTATATAACTGTCACCTGAGCTCTGAGTGAGGAGGCTTCTGATTGGCTCTGGGTGAGGATGCTGCTGATTGGCCGCAGACCTGCCGTGTTTGTTTCCCACACCAGCCTGTCTGACATGCTTTGTGCATCGCCATGGAAACTGCTGCTCACTCTGCTGTCTGGCCATCGCCATGGCAACTGCGGCCGCCCGCCTCCCTCCGCCTGGATGCATGTGTCTCCATGGCAACAGGGTGAGTGAGTCCAGCGTCTAAGAGCCCCAGGATTGGACCAAATGGAACAATGTTTGTACAGGACCGGGTTTTATTTAGAAGATTTCAGTTCTTTGTATTTTTGTATCTTTCTAAATCTCTACAGCGTCTCAAACTCTTTTTAACTCTGATAATGTTGATTAATTCTGCGAGGCTGTGACAGGATACATATACTTTTGCATTGACTGCTGTGTCCCACATAAAGTTATCAAAGAGCATTTCAGCCATAATCCTTGGATGAACACTGACGTCAAATTGAAAATTCATAAGCGGACGCTGGCATTTCAATCTGGTGATGAGGGTGGTTACAAGCTGTCCTGCTACGCTGTGGAACGGTCTATAAAAGCTGCTAAGCGTTCCTATGGGGACAGGTTAGAGGGCTTCTTTGGGGAAGAGGACCCCCGACGCATGTGGAAGGGGATCAGTCTTATCACGTCCTGGAAACCAAGTGCAGGGAAAATTGCTGCTGGCCAAACTCTGCCAAACGAGCTCAACAACTTTTACTGCCGCTTTGAATCTGCTGATCCCCTGCCTTTTGTCTTCCCCGAATGTCAGGGTGCCTTCACAGTGACTCAGGAGGAAGTCCGGCGGGTCTTGTCCAGGACCACAGCTCGGAAAGCCGCAGGCCCGGACTGCATTCCTCCCCGCGTCCTGAAACTGTGCTCCGAGCAACTTGCCCCTGTTTTAACAGACATCTTGAAATGGTCACTTAGGAGCTGTACGGTGCCGGTGAGCTTTAAAAATCAATGACTGTCTTTCTGACGTTGTTTCTGTGAGGGTCTCCCCAAGGATGTATTCTGAGTCCTCTGCTTTTTACATTGTACACTCACGATTGTGTGTCCTCCTCTGACTCGAACCTGATCATCAAATACACTGATGACACCACCATCATCGGTCTCATCAGTGATAGTGACCCAAATACAGACAGTTTATCAAATGCCCGACCAGAGAGGAGAACACTCTGGATCACTGTTACACCACCGTGCGCGAAGCTTTTTGCGCTGTTCCCAAGCCAGCCCTCGGCTTCTCAGATCACTCCATGATACATCTGGTTCCTGCTTACAGACAGAGACTAAAGCTCTCGAAACCTGCAGTGAGGAGCTCCAAAGTGTGGTCTGATGAAGCTGTGGAAGAGCTGCATGCATGGAATCTACAGACTGGGACCTTTTCAGAGCTGCCACAGACAGCTTGGATGAATACACGGACACTGTGACGTCATACATCCACTTCTGTGAGGATAGCATCATTCCAACAAGGACCAGGGTCATCTATAACAACGACAAACCCTGGTTCACTGCTAAACTCCGGCAGCTCAGGAAAGCAAAGGAGTCTGCTTTCAGGGAGGGGGACCGCAGCGGCTACAAAGCAGCTAAATATCAGTTCAGGAAAGAACTGAAAGCAGCCAAGTCCCGGCACAGAGAACGACTACAGGAGCAGTTTGGTAACAACGATACTGCTTCTGTCTGGAGGGGCCTACGGGAGATCACCAACTACAAACCCAAAGCCCCCCCCTGTGCTGACGACCACAAGCTAGCTGACGATCTGAACTTATTTTTCAGTCGCTTTGATGCTGCCCCTGACACCTCTCCCTCCCCCACCCCCCACTACTCTAACGACCCACCCATCAGCCCTGCCCCCAGCCTAACAATAGCCGCTAAAGAGATTAAACAACTCTTCTTGAGGCTGCACCCCCGCAAAGCTCCTGGCCCGGACCACGTGTCTCCGGCCACTCTGAGACACTGCGCCAGTGAGCTTACTCCTGTGTTCACGGACATTTTCAACACCTCTCTGCAGTCCTGCCATGTCCCGGCCTGCTTCAAATCCTCCATCATTGTCCCCGTCCCGAAGAAGCCCAGGATCACAGGACTCAATGACTACAGACCTGTAGCACTTACGTCTGTCGTCATGAAGTCATTTGAACGCCTGGTTCTCTCCCATCTCAAGTCCCTCACCTCCCCCCTCCTGGACCCCCTGCAGTTCGCCTACAGAGCCAACAGATCTGTAGACGACGCCATTAACCTGGCCCTCCACCACATCCTACAGCACCTGGACTCCCCGGGGACCTACGCCAGGGTCCTGTTCGTGGACTTCAGCTCTGCCTTCAACACAATCCTGCCATCCCTGCTCCAGGACAAGCTCTCCCAGCTCAACGTGCCCGATTCCACCTGCAGGTGGATCACTGACTTCCTGACGGACAGGAAGCAGCGAGTGCGTCTGGGGAAGAATGTCTCGGACTCTCGGATTATAAATACAGGAGCCCCACAGGGCTGTGTTCTTTCTCCCCTGCTCTTCTCCCTGTACACCAACCACTGCACCTCCAGCCACGACTCTGTGAAGCTGATCAAGTTAGCTGACGACACCACCCTCATTGGACTCATCTCCAACAACAATGAGTCCGCCTACAGGAGGGAGGTGGACCGGCTGGTGTCCTGGTGCAGTGGTAACAACCTGGAGCTGAACGCCCAGAAGACAGTGGAGATGATTGTGGACTTCAGGAAGAGCACTGTCCCCCCGCCCCCACCCTCCGTGATGGACTCCCCCATCACCTCTGTGGAGTCCTTCCGTTTCCTGGGCACCACCATCACCCAGGACCTCAAGTGGGAGCCGACCATCAGCTCCCTCATCAAGAAGGCCCAGCAGAGGATGTACTTCCTGCGGCAGCTCAGGAAAGCCAAGCTGCCTGCACAGATGTTGGTGCAGTTCTACACGGCCATCATCGAGTCCATCCTCACCTCCTCCATCAGCTCCTCCATCAGCTCCTCCATCACCTCCTCCAGCACCTCCTCCGTCACCTCCTCCAGCACCTCCTCCGTCACCTCCTCTATCACCTCCTCCATCACCTCCTCCATCACCGTGTGGTTCGCTGGAGCCACAGTCAGGGACAAACAGAGACTACAGCGCATTGTGCGCTCTGCAGAGGAAGTGATCGGCCGCAGCCTTCCATCGCTGCAGGACCTGTACGTCGCCCGAGCTCGAGGCCGGGCTGGTCGTATCACAGCCGACCCCTCTCACCTGCACATGGACTATTCCAACCACTCCCCTCTCACCTGCACATGGACTATTCCAACCACTCCCCTCAGGCAGGAGGCTGCGGTCCATCAGGACTAGAACCTCCCGCCACAAGAACAGTTTCTTCCCCTCTGCTGTTGGACTCTTGAACACTTCTTAACCTGTCCCCCCGCCCTTTATAAAGTCACTTTACTGCCCATCATACGTCACTTTACTTCACTGTACTGCTGTCACCTTACATTGTGTGCACCATGTGCACTTGTATATTGTAAATAGTAACTGTAACTCTATTTTAAATTTAAATTTATTCTTTAGAAGTGTTTTTTATTCTTATTTTTATTATCTCTTTCTGACTGTTGCACTGAGCCAAAGCAATTTCCAAGTCTGTGACCTCCTGTTACTTACGTTGGCAATAAAAATGATTCTGATAATGATGAATCCTCTTATAGAGCAGAGATTGAACGTAACAACCTCCAGCTGAACACAGCAAAAACATGTGAAATTGTTTTTGACTTTAGTCGTAATAGTTCTCACACTCCTGTTGCTATTGACAACTCCCAGGTGCAGATCGTAGAGGAGCAAGTTTCTGGGTTTAACTCTGTCTAACCTGAAATGGGTTAAAAACACTGACCGAGTCGTTAAAAAAGCTCGTCAGCGTCTCTACTTTCTGCGTAAACTTAGAGAATTTACCACTAACTCTAAGATTGTGCTTAACTTTTATGGCTGCACCATTGAGAGTTTACTTGTTGGTTCTGTGTCTGTGTGGTTTGGAAACATCACAGATAAAGAAAAGAGAGCTTTAAACAAGGTGCTCCGCTCTGCAAAGAGGACCGTGGGCTCTGAGCTTCCTGTTCTGGAGGTTCTTTATCAATCCAGACTTTTAAACAAAGCTCTTAGGATTGTCAATGACTCTTCTGGCCACCCTGGGAAAGCCATGTTCCAGCTTCTTCCCTCTGGCAGAAGATATCGCTCTCTGAGATGCAGGACATCTCGTTACGCTAACAGTTTTTATCCACAGGCTGTTATCAGTGTGAACAGAGCACTTTAATGATTTGCACTTGTTTGAACTGTTTTAGTCGATCTATTTCACAGTGACATTTGTTTACTGTTTATTTGTTTTATTTCTGTCTTTTAGGGTGTATTCAGACTTGAAAAGTCCTTTGCTCCGGTTGCCTGATCCGAATCAAAAGTGGACCAAACTTTTTTCTTTTGCTCCGGTTCGTATTCAGACTGTACTTTTTGCAAGTGAACTTTTTTATATAAACATATTGACACGTGTGACGATCAGCTCCTATTGGACAGAGAGCTCACGGAGGATAGACGCGGAACCGGCAGAAAACATTGAGGGCTCTATGTACAGCATGTCTGCTCTGCCTCTGTTTGCTCTTTTTAGAGGAAAACCACCTTCAACATCAACAGCAGCTCATATGACACAGGCCAAACACGTTGTTTTAAATATTGGAACAGCGTCGGAGAATGCGTGAGGAGAAAGCCGAAGGAGACTGTGCGCTCCGTGCCCTGTCCCACACATGGATCTATGATAATAACTCTGTCCCACACATGGATCTATGATAATAACTCTGTCCCACACATGGATCTATGATAATAACTCTGTCCCACACATGGATCTATGATAATAACTCTGTCCCACACATGGATCTATAATAATAACTCTGTCCCACACATGGATCTATGATAATAACTCTGTCCCACACATGGATCTATGATAATAACTCTGTCCCACACATGGATCTATGATAATAACTCTGTCCCACACATGGATCTATGATAATAACCCTGTCCCACACATGGATCTATGATAATAACTCTGTCCCACACATGGATCTATGATAATAACTCTGTCCCACACATGGATCTATGATAATAACTCTGTCCCACACATGGATCTATGATAATAACTCTGTCCCACACATGGATCTATGATAATAACTCTGTCCCACACATGGATCTATGATAATAACTCTGTCCCACACATGGATCTATGATAATAACCCTGTCCCACACATGGATCTATGATAATAACCCTGTCCCACACATGGATCTATGATAATAACCCTGTCCCACACATGGATCTATGATAATAACCCTGTCCCACACATGGATCTATGATAATAACCCTGTCCCACACATGGATCTATGATAATAACTCTGTCCCACACATGGATCTATGATAATAACCCTGTCCCACACATGGATCTATGATAATAACTCTGTCCCACACATGGATCTATGATAATAACTCTGTCCCACACATGGATCTATGATAATAACCCTGTCCCACACATGGATCTATGATAATAACCCTGTCCCACACATGGATCTATGATAATAACTCTGTCCCACACATGGATCTATGATAATAACTCTGTCCCACACATGGATCTATGATAATAACCCTGTCCCACACATGGATCTATGATAATAACCCTGTCCCACACATGGATCTATGATAATAACTCTGTCCCACACATGGATCTATGATAATAACCCTGTCCCACACATGGATCTATGATAATAACTCTGTCCCACACATGGATCTATGATAATAACTCTGTCCCACACATGGATCTATGATAATAACCCTGTCCCACACATGGATCTATGATAATAACCCTGTCCCACACATGGATCTATGATAATAACTCTGTCCCACACATGGATCTATGATAATAACTCTGTCCCACACATGGATCTATGATAATAACCCTGTCCCACACATGGATCTATGATAATAACCCTGTCCCACACATGGATCTATGATAATAACTCTGTCCCACACATGGATCTATGATAATAACTCTGTCCCACACATGGATCTATGATAATAACTCTGTCCCACACATGGATCTATGATAATAACCCTGTCCCACACATGGATCTATGATAATAACTCTGTCCCACACATGGATCTATGATAATAACCCTGTCCCACACATGGATCTATGATAATAACCCTGTCCCACACATGGATCTATGATAATAACTCTGTCCCACACATGGATCTATGATAATAACTATGTCCCACACATGGATCTATGATAATAACTCTGTCCCACACATGGATCTATGATAATAACTCTGTCCCACACATGGATCTATGATAATAACTCTGTCCCACACATGGATCTATGATAATAACTCTGTCCCACACATGGATCTATGATAATAACCCTGTCCCACACATGGATCTATGATAATAACTCTGTCCCACACATGGATCTATGATAATAACCCTGTCCCACACATGGATCTATGATAATAACCCTGTCCCACACATGGATCTATGATAATAACTCTGTCCCACACATGGATCTATGATAATAACTATGTCCCACACATGGATCTATGATAATAACTCTGTCCCACACATGGATCTATGATAATAACTCTGTCCCACACATGGATCTATGATAATAACTCTGTCCCACACATGGATCTATGATAATAACTGTCCCACACATGGATCTATGATAATAACTCTGTCCCACACATGGATCTATGATAATAACCCTGTCCCACACATGGATCTATGATAATAACTCTGTCCCACACATGGATCTATGATAATAACTCTGTCCCACACATGGATCTATGATAATAACCCTGTCCCACACATGGATCTATGATAATAACCCTGTCCCACACATGGATCTATGATAATAACTCTGTCCCACACATGGATCTATGATAATAACTCTGTCCCACACATGGATCTATGATAATAACTCTGTCCCACACATGGATCTATGATAATAACTCTGTCCCACACATGGATCTATGATAATAACTCTGTCCCACACATGGATCTATGATAATAACTCTGTCCCACACATGGATCTATGATAATAACTGTCCCACACATGGATCTATGATAATAACTCTGTCCCACACATGGATCTATGATAATAACTCTGTCCCACACATGGATCTATGATAATAACTCTGTCCCACACATGGATCTATAATAATAACTCTGTCCCACACATGGATCTATGATAATAACTCTGTCCCACTCATGGATCTATGATAATAACTCTGTCCCACACATGGATCTATAATAATAACTCTGTCCCACACATGGATCTATGATAATAACTCTGTCCCACACATGGATCTATGATAATAACTCTGTCCCACACATGGATCTATGATAATAACTCTGTCCCACACATGGATCTATGATAATAACCCTGTCCCACACATGGATCTATGATAATAACTCTGTCCCACACATGGATCTATGATAATAACTCTGTCCCACACATGGATCTATGATAATAACTCTGTCCCACACATGGATCTATAATAATAACTCTGTCCCACACATGGATCTACGATAATAACTCTGTCCCACACATGGATCTATGATAATAACTCTGTCCCACACATGGATCTATGATAATAACTGTCCCACACATGGATCTATGATAATAACTCTGTCCCACACATGGATCTATGATAATAACTCTGTCCCACACATGGATCTATGATAATAACTCTGTCCCACACATGGATCTATGATAATAACCCTGTCCCACACATGGATCTATGATAATAACCCTGTCCCACACATGGATCTATGATAATAACTCTGTCCCACACATGGATCTATGATAATAACTCTGTCCCACACATGGATCTATGATAATAACTCTGTCCCACACATGGATCTATGATAATAACTCTGTCCCACACATGGATCTATGATAATAACTCTGTCCCACACATGGATCTATGATAATAACTCTGTCCCACACATGGATCTATGATAATAACTCTGTCCCACACATGGATCTATGATAATAACGGCCCTGTTCAGACAAACAGACGCTGAGGATCAGGTAGGAACCAAAGAACACAATTCACTAAATGATGCGGAGACAGATCCAGGCAGATGCTCCTCGCCTTTGGAATGAGCTTCCTCAGTCTCTGCGTATCGTAGAGACTGTTGATGATTTTAAGTCCCAACTAAAGACACATTTGTTTGGACAGGCTTTCTCGCACCATTGTTCATAGGCCTCTGTGAATGTAAATTGTGTTTTCTGTGTTTGTTTTATCTGACTTGTATGTGTATTAGGGCTGCAACTAACGATTATTTTGATAATCGATTAATCAGGCGATTATTTTTACGACTAATCGATTAATCGGTTTATGTACTTATATTTTAGTTTTGCCAATTTTTTTCCAAGTAAATTGTTAACAAAGGGCCTTCATCATTCAACATAGACTTTTTAGAGATTTTAACCATTTTACATATTCATATCCACATCAAAAACATATCTGGAGCTGTTTATTATGTCTTTGTAATCCTTTGTTGAACTCAATGTCGACCATCAAAACAAAACACTGACCATTACATACTCTAGCAAATTTCACAAGGAGATTTCCAATGTTTTCACCATGAAAATCCTTAGGGCTTCTGAAGTGGTTTAAAATCCCGAACAAGGCTTAATTAAGTTGATAAACTGGATAAATGGTATTTTTTTTTACATCTTTGTGCAAATTAGTTGAAAGATCAACTTTATGCCTAAAACAGTGAGTGTGGCGCCATCTTTTGCAAACAGTCAGTACTGCAGAGAGATGGTTTAAGGTGCTCACGCAGAGACATAGTACTCCTGTGCCAGGCCAAGTCAGTAGCGCAGAGTTTACAGGTTACTCTTCTTTTTTGAAGGTTCAAAGTAAAGTGCTCCCACACTTTGGATGACTTTGTTCGATTAGGTTTGTCTTCTGCTTTTTTCCTTTTCTTTCTCGAGCTTACTCCACTGCCGCTTGCCTCCGCCATCTTGCTGTATGCTGAAGAGAAGCTGTGCGCGAAGCATGTGACATAAAAGGAGGCCAGCTATTGGCTATTCGCTACTTCTCCTGCTGTAAAACCTCTGGTGGCTCATTACTACAATTTTACAATACAATACAATTTATTCTTGTATAGCCCTAGGTCACAACAGAAGTCATCTCAGAGACTTAACAAAACCATTGAAATCACCAACACAGGTCAGAGAATCAACAGTTAAAACACATGAAGAATATAAAGCACACACAGAAGAAAATGTCCATACATGTTGTAGAATGCTAAAGTGTCCTGATCATCACCAATCCTTTCTGTTGGACACTAACTGTCCAACAAGACCCTCCTGCATCCACAAGGAACAACTCTTAAAAAACCCAGTGGGAAAAAGTGAGAAACCTTGGAGGAGAACTAGGGAAACCCACAGGGAGGGAGACCCATATGAGAAAGGGATCCGCTCCTCCGGACGGACAGACTAATGATCCAGGACCTAAGCTAGCTACAGAACGTGGACCAGTGGACGCTGAACGTGGACAGGTCCGGTGCAGGACTGAAGCACTCCCAGGCGGGTCGGGCGGGGCAGTCCGCAGGTGTAGATGGAGGAGGCCAGGCTCAGAGATCCCGTCATCGTACTATGAAACAGACAATGGGACAACGGGTGAATAGCAATGAACAAACTACAGTCAGAATCCTAAAAATGCTAAACAGATAAAGTAGGAAGGAGGAGAGGATAGTGCTCAAGTTACCATACTTCTCCAGCAGGGGGCTCCCTATGCAGCTTGACTAACACTCTGAGGAGTTTAACCTTCTCCGAGTCTTACCTTCCTAGCCATATGCTAAACTAAAGAGGACTGTTTTAAACCTAGCCTTGAATAAAGAATAACATACAGCATAATATATAACATAATATACAACATAACACAATACATTATTGAATAATATATAACATAATATATAACATAATACAGCATATATATATATAATATATACACTACATATTATATATTACCTAATTATATGCTAAATTAAAGTAAAGTGCTTTAAGCCTGGCCTTGAATGTGGAGACCGTATCTGCTTCCTTAACATAAATGAAGCTGATTCCACAGTAAAGGAGCTTGGAGCTAAATGCTCTGCCACCAACAGTGACCTTTGAGACCTTAGGGACCACCAGACGTCTGGCGTTTTGTGAGCGCAACGCTCGACTACTGCCACCATTTGGTCACCGCAGAGTTAAAATATGCACGAAATGAGCCGCCTACGGCAAAATAAAAGTTATTTAGCAACTAATCGATGACTAAATTAGTTGACAACTATTTTACCCTGAAGCCCTGAAGCCGATCCAGTCTGTCTACAAACAGGCGTTAAAAGCCCTGAAGCCGATCCAGTCTGTCTACAAACAGGCGTTAAAAGCCCTGAAGCCGATCCAGTCTGTCTACAAACAGGCGTTAAAAGCCCTGAAGCCGATCCAGTCTGTCTACAAACAGGCGTTAAAAGTCCTGAAGCCTATCCAGTCTGTCTACAAACAGGCCTTAAAAGCCCTGAAGCCGATCCAGTCTGTCTACAAACAGGCGTTAAAAGCCCTGAAGCCTATCCAGTCTGTCTACAAACAGGCGTTAAAAGCCCTGAAGCCGATCCAGTCTGTCTACAAACAGGCGTTAAAAGTCCTGAAGCCAATCCAGTCTGTCTACAAACAGGCGTTAAAAGCCCTGAAGCCGAATCCAGTCTGTCTACAAACAGGCGTTAAAAGCCCTGAAGCCGATCCAGTCTGTCTACAAACAGGCGTTAAAAGTCCTGAAGCCTATCCAGTCTGTCTACAAACAGGCGTTAAAAGTCCTGAAGCCGATCCAGTCTGTCTACAAACAGGCGTTAAAAGCCCTGAAGCCTATCCAGTCTGTCTACAAACAGGCGTTAAAAGCCCTGAAGCCGATCCAGTCTGTCTACAAACAGGCGTTAAAAGTCCTGAAGCCGATCCAGTCTGTCTACAAACAGGCGTTAAAAGTCCTGAAGCCTATCCAGTCTGTCTACAAACAGGCGTTAAAAGCCCTGAAGCCGATCCAGTCTGTCTACAAACAGGTGTTAAAAGCCCTGAAGCCTATCCAGTCTGTCTACAAACAGGCGTTAAAAGTCCTGAAGCCGATCCAGTCTGTCTACAAACAGGCCTTAAAAGCCCTGAAGCCGATCCAGTCTGTCTACAAACAGGCGTTAAAAGCCCTGAAGCCGATCCAGTCTGTCTACAAACAGGCGTTAAAAGCCCTGAAGCCGATCCAGTCTGTCTACAAACAGGCGTTAAAAGCCCTGAAGCCGATCCAGTCTGTCTACAAACAGGCGTTAAAAGCCCTGAAGCCGATCCAGTCTGTCTACAAACAGGCGTTAAAAGTCCTGAAGCCGATCCAGTCTGTCTACAAACAGGCCTTAAAAGTCCTGAAGCCTATCCAGTCTGTCTACAAACAGGCGTTAAAAGCCCTGAAGCCGATCCAGTCTGTCTACAAACAGGCGTTAAAAGCCCTGAAGCCGATCCAGTCTGTCTACAAACAGGCGTTAAAAGCCCTGAAGCCGATCCAGTCTGTCTACAAACAGGCGTTAAAAGTCCTGAAGCCGATCCAGTCTGTCTACAAACAGGCCTTAAAAGTCCTGAAGCCTATCCAGTCTGTCTACAAACAGGCGTTAAAAGCCCTGAAGCCGATCCAGTCTGTCTACAAACAGGTGTTAAAAGCCCTGAAGCCTATCCAGTCTGTCTACAAACAGGCGTTAAAAGCCCTGAAGCCTATCCAGTCTGTCTACAAACAGGTGTTAAAAGCCTTGAAGCCGATCCAGTCTGTCTACAAACAGGTGTTAAAAGCCCTGAAGCCGATCCAGTCTGTCTACAAACAGGCCTTAAAAGCCCTGAAGCCGATCCAGTCTGTCTACAAACAGGCCTTAAAAGTCCTGAAGCCGATCCAGTCTGTCTACAAACAGGTGTTAAAAGCCCTGAAGCCTATCCAGTCTGTCTACAAACAGGTGTTAAAAGCCCTGAAGCCTATCCAGTCTGTCTACAAACAGGCGTTAAAAGCCCTGAAGCCGATCCAGTCTGTCTACAAACAGGCCTTAAAAGCCCTGAAGCCTATCCAGTCTGTCTACAAACAGGCGTTAAAAGCCCTGAAGCCGATCCAGTCTGTCTACAAACAGGCCTTAAAAGCCCTGAAGCCTATCCAGTCTGTCTACAAACAGGTGTTAAAAGCCCTGAAGCCTATCCAGTCTGTCTACAAACAGGCGTTAAAAGCCCTGAAGCCTATCCAGTCTGTCTACAAACAGGCGTTAAAAGCCCTGAAGCCGATCCAGTCTGTCTACAAACAGGCGTTAAAAGCCCTGAAGCCTATCCAGTCTGTCTACAAACAGGCGTTAAAAGCCTTGAAGCCGATCCAGTCTGTCTACAAACAGGTGTTAAAAGCCCTGAAGCCTATCCAGTCTGTCTACAAACAGGCGTTAAAAGCCCTGAAGCCTATCCAGTCTGTCTACAAACAGGCGTTAAAAGCCCTGAAGCCGATCCAGTCTGTCTACAAACAGGCGTTAAAAGCCCTGAAGCCTATCCAGTCTGTCTACAAACAGGCGTTAAAAGCCCTGAAGCCGATCCAGTCTGTCTACAAACAGGCGTTAAAAGCCCTGAAGCCTATCCAGTCTGTCTACAAACAGGTGTTAAAAGCCCTGAAGCCTATCCAGTCTGTCTACAAACAGGCCTTAAAAGCCCTGAAGCCGATCCAGTCTGTCTACAAACAGGTGTTAAAAGTCCTGAAGCCTATCCAGTCTGTCTACAAACAGGCCTTAAAAGCCCTGAAGCCGATCCAGTCTGTCTACAAACAGGCGTTAAAAGCCCTGAAGCCTATCCAGTCTGTCTACAAACAGGCCTTAAAAGTCCTGAAGCCTATCCAGTCTGTCTACAAACAGGCGTTAAAAGCCCTGAAGCCTATCCAGTCTGTCTACAAACAGGCGTTAAAAGTCCTGAAGCCGATCCAGTCTGTCTACAAACAGGCGTTAAAAGTCCTGAAGCCTATCCAGTCTGTCTACAAACAGGCCTTAAAAGTCCTGAAGCCTATCCAGTCTGTCTACAAACAGGCGTTAAAAGCCCTGAAGCCTATCCAGTCTGTCTACAAACAGGCGTTAAAAGTCCTGAAGCCGATCCAGTCTGTCTACAAACAGGCCTTAAAAGCCCTGAAGCCTATCCAGTCTGTCTACAAACAGGCCTTAAAAGCCCTGAAGCCGATCCAGTCTGTCTACAAACAGGCGTTAAAAGTCCTGAAGCCTATCCAGTCTGTCTACAAACAGGCGTTAAAAGCCCTGAAGCCTATCCAGTCTGTCTACAAACAGGCCTTAAAAGCCCTGAAGCCTATCCAGTCTGTCTACAAACAGGCGTTAAAAGCCCTGAAGCCTATCCAGTCTGTCTACAAACAGGCGTTAAAAGTCCTGAAGCCTATCCAGTCTGTCTACAAACAGGCCTTAAAAGCCCTGAAGCCTATCCAGTCTGTCTACAAACAGGCGTTAAAAGCCCTGAAGCCGATCCAGTCTGTCTACAAACAGGCGTTAAAAGCCCTGAAGCCTATCCAGTCTGTCTACAAACAGGCGTTAAAAGTCCTGAAGCCTATCCAGTCTGTCTACAAACAGGCGTTAAAAGTCCTGAAGCCTATCCAGTCTGTCTACAAACAGGCGTTAAAAGTCCTGAAGCCGATCCAGTCTGTCTACAAACAGGCGTTAAAAGTCCTGAAGCCTATCCAGTCTGTCTACAAACAGGCCTTAAAAGCCCTGAAGCCTATCCAGTCTGTCTACAAACAGGCCTTAAAAGCCCTGAAGCCTATCCAGTCTGTCTACAAACAGGCGTTAAAAGCCCTGAAGCCTATCCAGTCTGTCTACAAACAGGCGTTAAAAGCCCTGAAGCCTATCCAGTCTGTCTACAAACAGGCCTTAAAAGCCCTGAAGCCGATCCAGTCTGTCTACAAACAGGCGTTAAAAGCCCTGAAGCCTATCCAGTCTGTCTACAAACAGGCCTTAAAAGCCCTGAAGCCGATCCAGTCTGTCTACAAACAGGCCTTAAAAGTCCTGAAGCCGATCCAGTCTGTCTACAAACAGGCCTTAAAAGTCCTGAAGCCTATCCAGTCTGTCTACAAACAGGCCTTAAAAGCCCTGAAGCCTATCCAGTCTGTCTACAAACAGGCCTTAAAAGTCCTGAAGCCTATCCAGTCTGTCTACAAACAGGCCTTAAAAGTCCTGAAGCCTATCCAGTCTGTCTAAAAACAGGCCTTAAAAGCCCTGAAGCCTATCCAGTCTGTCTACAAACAGGCCTTAAAAGTCCTGAAGCCTATCCAGTCTGTCTACAAACAGGCCTTAAAAGCCCTGAAGCCTATCCAGTCTGTCTACAAACAGGCCTTAAAAGCCCTGAAGCCTATCCAGTCTGTCTACAAACAGGCCTTAAAAGTCCTGAAGCCTATCCAGTCTGTCTACAAACAGGCCTTAAAAGTCCTGAAGCCTATCCAGTCTGTCTACAAACAGGCCTTAAAAGTCCTGAAGCCTATCCAGTCTGTCTACAAACAGGCCTTAAAAGTCCTGAAGCCTATCCAGTCTGTCTACAAACAGGCCTTAAAAGCCCTGAAGCCTATCCAGTCTGTCTACAAACAGGCCTTAAAAGTCCTGAAGCCGATCCAGTCTGTCTACAAACAGGCCTTAAAAGTCCTGAAGCCGATCCAGTCTGTCTACAAACAGGCCTTAAAAGTCCTGAAGCCTATCCAGTCTGTCTACAAACAGGCCTTAAAAGCCCTGAAGCCGATCCAGTCTGTCTACAAACAGGCGTTAAAAGCCCTGAAGCCGATCCAGTCTGTCTACAAACAGGCGTTAAAAGTCCTGAAGCCGATCCAGTCTGTCTACAAACAGGTGTTAAAAGCCCTGAAGCCGATCCAGTCTGTCTACAAACAGGCGTTAAAAGCCCTGAAGCCTATCCAGTCTGTCTACAAACAGGTTTTAAAAGCCCTGAAGCCTATCCAGTCTGTCTACAAACAGGCGTTAAAAGTCCTGAAGCCGATCCAGTCTGTCTACAAACAGGCCTTAAAAGCCCTGAAGCCGATCCAGTCTGTCTACAAACAGGTATTAAAAGCCCTGAAGCCTATCCAGTCTGTCTACAAACAGGTTTTAAAAGCCCTGAAGCCTATCCAGTCTGTCTACAAACAGGCGTTAAAAGCCCTGAAGCCTATCCAGTCTGTCTACAAACAGGCGTTAAAAGTCCTGAAGCCGATCCAGTCTGTCTACAAACAGGCCTTAAAAGCCCTGAAGCCGATCCAGTCTGTCTACAAACAGGTATTAAAAGCCCTGAAGCCTATCCAGTCTGTCTACAAACAGGTGTTAAAAGCCCTGAAGCCTATCCAGTCTGTCTACAAACAGGCCTTAAAAGCCCTGAAGCCTATCCAGTCTGTCTACAAACAGGCGTTAAAAGCCCTGAAGCCTATCCAGTCTGTCTACAAACAGGTGTTAAAAGCCCTGAAGCCGATCCAGTCTGTCTACAAACAGGTGTTAAAAGCCCTGAAGCCGATCCAGTCTGTCTACAAACAGGCGTTAAAAGTCCTGAAGCCGATCCAGTCTGTCTACAAACAGGCGTTAAAAGCCCTGAAGCCTATCCAGTCTGTCTACAAACAGGCGTTAAAAGCCCTGAAGCCTATCCAGTCTGTCTACAAACAGGCGTTAAAAGTCCTGAAGCCGATCCAGTCTGTCTACAAACAGGCGTTAAAAGCCCTGAAGCCTATCCAGTCTGTCTACAAACAGGCGTTAAAAGCCCTGAAGCCGATCCAGTCTGTCTACAAACAGGCGTTAAAAGCCCTGAAGCCTATCCAGTCTGTCTACAAACAGGCGTTAAAAGCCCTGAAGCCTATCCAGTCTGTCTACAAACAGGCGTTAAAAGTCCTGAAGCCGATCCAGTCTGTCTACAAACAGGCGTTAAAAGCCCTGAAGCCTATCCAGTCTGTCTACAAACAGGCGTTAAAAGTCCTGAAGCCGATCCAGTCTGTCTACAAACAGGCGTTAAAAGCCCTGAAGCCGATCCAGTCTGTCTACAAACAGGCGTTAAAAGTCCTGAAGCCTATCCAGTCTGTCTACAAACAGGCGTTAAAAGCCCTGAAGCCGATCCAGTCTGTCTACAAACAGGCGTTAAAAGTCCTGAAGCCTATCCAGTCTGTCTACAAACAGGCCTTAAAAGCCCTGAAGCCGATCCAGTCTGTCTACAAACAGGCGTTAAAAGCCCTGAAGCCTATCCAGTCTGTCTACAAACAGGCGTTAAAAGCCCTGAAGCCGATCCAGTCTGTCTACAAACAGGCGTTAAAAGTCCTGAAGCCAATCCAGTCTGTCTACAAACAGGCGTTAAAAGCCCTGAAGCCGATCCAGTCTGTCTACAAACAGGCGTTAAAAGCCCTGAAGCCGATCCAGTCTGTCTACAAACAGGCGTTAAAAGCCCTGAAGCCGATCCAGTCTGTCTACAAACAGGCGTTAAAAGTCCTGAAGCCGATCCAGTCTGTCTACAAACAGGTGTTAAAAGCCCTGAAGCCGATCCAGTCTGTCTACAAACAGGCGTTAAAAGCCCTGAAGCCTATCCAGTCTGTCTACAAACAGGTTTTAAAAGCCCTGAAGCCTATCCAGTCTGTCTACAAACAGGCGTTAAAAGCCCTGAAGCCGATCCAGTCTGTCTACAAACAGGCCTTAAAAGCCCTGAAGCCGATCCAGTCTGTCTACAAACAGGTATTAAAAGCCCTGAAGCCTATCCAGTCTGTCTACAAACAGGTTTTAAAAGCCCTGAAGCCTATCCAGTCTGTCTACAAACAGGCGTTAAAAGCCCTGAAGCCTATCCAGTCTGTCTACAAACAGGCGTTAAAAGTCCTGAAGCCGATCCAGTCTGTCTACAAACAGGCCTTAAAAGCCCTGAAGCCGATCCAGTCTGTCTACAAACAGGCGTTAAAAGCCCTGAAGCCTATCCAGTCTGTCTACAAACAGGTGTTAAAAGCCCTGAAGCCGATCCAGTCTGTCTACAAACAGGCCTTAAAAGCCCTGAAGCCTATCCAGTCTGTCTACAAACAGGCCTTAAAAGCCCTGAAGCCTATCCAGTCTGTCTACAAACAGGCGTTAAAAGTCCTGAAGCCGATCCAGTCTGTCTACAAACAGGCGTTAAAAGCCCTGAAGCCTATCCAGTCTGTCTACAAACAGGCGTTAAAAGCCCTGAAGCCTATCCAGTCTGTCTACAAACAGGCGTTAAAAGTCCTGAAGCCGATCCAGTCTGTCTACAAACAGGCGTTAAAAGCCCTGAAGCCTATCCAGTCTGTCTACAAACAGGCGTTAAAAGCCCTGAAGCCGATCCAGTCTGTCTACAAACAGGCGTTAAAAGCCCTGAAGCCTATCCAGTCTGTCTACAAACAGGCGTTAAAAGCCCTGAAGCCTATCCAGTCTGTCTACAAACAGGCGTTAAAAGTCCTGAAGCCGATCCAGTCTGTCTACAAACAGGCGTTAAAAGCCCTGAAGCCTATCCAGTCTGTCTACAAACAGGCGTTAAAAGTCCTGAAGCCGATCCAGTCTGTCTACAAACAGGCGTTAAAAGCCCTGAAGCCGATCCAGTCTGTCTACAAACAGGCGTTAAAAGTCCTGAAGCCTATCCAGTCTGTCTACAAACAGGCGTTAAAAGCCCTGAAGCCGATCCAGTCTGTCTACAAACAGGCGTTAAAAGTCCTGAAGCCTATCCAGTCTGTCTACAAACAGGCCTTAAAAGCCCTGAAGCCGATCCAGTCTGTCTACAAACAGGCGTTAAAAGCCCTGAAGCCTATCCAGTCTGTCTACAAACAGGCGTTAAAAGCCCTGAAGCCGATCCAGTCTGTCTACAAACAGGCGTTAAAAGTCCTGAAGCCAATCCAGTCTGTCTACAAACAGGCGTTAAAAGCCCTGAAGCCGATCCAGTCTGTCTACAAACAGGCGTTAAAAGCCCTGAAGCCGATCCAGTCTGTCTACAAACAGGCGTTAAAAGTCCTGAAGCCTATCCAGTCTGTCTACAAACAGGCGTTAAAAGTCCTGAAGCCGATCCAGTCTGTCTACAAACAGGCGTTAAAAGCCCTGAAGCCTATCCAGTCTGTCTACAAACAGGCGTTAAAAGCCCTGAAGCCGATCCAGTCTGTCTACAAACAGGCGTTAAAAGTCCTGAAGCCGATCCAGTCTGTCTACAAACAGGCGTTAAAAGTCCTGAAGCCTATCCAGTCTGTCTACAAACAGGCGTTAAAAGCCCTGAAGCCGATCCAGTCTGTCTACAAACAGGTGTTAAAAGCCCTGAAGCCTATCCAGTCTGTCTACAAACAGGCGTTAAAAGTCCTGAAGCCGATCCAGTCTGTCTACAAACAGGCCTTAAAAGCCCTGAAGCCGATCCAGTCTGTCTACAAACAGGCGTTAAAAGCCCTGAAGCCGATCCAGTCTGTCTACAAACAGGCGTTAAAAGCCCTGAAGCCGATCCAGTCTGTCTACAAACAGGCGTTAAAAGCCCTGAAGCCGATCCAGTCTGTCTACAAACAGGCGTTAAAAGCCCTGAAGCCGATCCAGTCTGTCTACAAACAGGCGTTAAAAGTCCTGAAGCCGATCCAGTCTGTCTACAAACAGGCCTTAAAAGTCCTGAAGCCTATCCAGTCTGTCTACAAACAGGCGTTAAAAGCCCTGAAGCCGATCCAGTCTGTCTACAAACAGGCGTTAAAAGCCCTGAAGCCGATCCAGTCTGTCTACAAACAGGCGTTAAAAGCCCTGAAGCCGATCCAGTCTGTCTACAAACAGGCGTTAAAAGTCCTGAAGCCGATCCAGTCTGTCTACAAACAGGCCTTAAAAGTCCTGAAGCCTATCCAGTCTGTCTACAAACAGGCGTTAAAAGCCCGAAGCCGATCCAGTCTGTCTACAAACAGGTGTTAAAAGCCCTGAAGCCTATCCAGTCTGTCTACAAACAGGCGTTAAAAGCCCTGAAGCCTATCCAGTCTGTCTACAAACAGGTGTTAAAAGCCCTGAAGCCTATCCAGTCTGTCTACAAACAGGCGTTAAAAGCCCTGAAGCCTATCCAGTCTGTCTACAAACAGGTGTTAAAAGCCTTGAAGCCGATCCAGTCTGTCTACAAACAGGCCTTAAAAGTCCTGAAGCCGATCCAGTCTGTCTACAAACAGGTGTTAAAAGCCCTGAAGCCTATCCAGTCTGTCTACAAACAGGTGTTAAAAGCCCTGAAGCCTATCCAGTCTGTCTACAAACAGGCGTTAAAAGCCCTGAAGCCGATCCAGTCTGTCTACAAACAGGCCTTAAAAGCCCTGAAGCCTATCCAGTCTGTCTACAAACAGGCGTTAAAAGCCCTGAAGCCGATCCAGTCTGTCTACAAACAGGCCTTAAAAGCCCTGAAGCCTATCCAGTCTGTCTACAAACAGGTGTTAAAAGCCCTGAAGCCTATCCAGTCTGTCTACAAACAGGCGTTAAAAGCCCTGAAGCCTATCCAGTCTGTCTACAAACAGGCGTTAAAAGTCCTGAAGCCGATCCAGTCTGTCTACAAACAGGCGTTAAAAGCCCTGAAGCCGATCCAGTCTGTCTACAAACAGGCGTTAAAAGCCCTGAAGCCTATCCAGTCTGTCTACAAACAGGCGTTAAAAGCCTTGAAGCCGATCCAGTCTGTCTACAAACAGGTGTTAAAAGCCCTGAAGCCTATCCAGTCTGTCTACAAACAGGCGTTAAAAGCCCTGAAGCCTATCCAGTCTGTCTACAAACAGGCGTTAAAAGCCCTGAAGCCGATCCAGTCTGTCTACAAACAGGCGTTAAAAGCCCTGAAGCCGATCCAGTCTGTCTACAAACAGGCGTTAAAAGCCCTGAAGCCTATCCAGTCTGTCTACAAACAGGTGTTAAAAGCCCTGAAGCCGATCCAGTCTGTCTACAAACAGGCGTTAAAAGCCCTGAAGCCTATCCAGTCTGTCTACAAACAGGCGTTAAAAGCCCTGAAGCCGATCCAGTCTGTCTACAAACAGGCGTTAAAAGCCCTGAAGCCTATCCAGTCTGTCTACAAACAGGCGTTAAAAGCCCTGAAGCCGATCCAGTCTGTCTACAAACAGGCGTTAAAAGCCCTGAAGCCTATCCAGTCTGTCTACAAACAGGTGTTAAAAGCCCTGAAGCCGATCCAGTCTGTCTACAAACAGGCGTTAAAAGCCCTGAAGCCTATCCAGTCTGTCTACAAACAGGCGTTAAAAGCCCTGAAGCCGATCCAGTCTGTCTACAAACAGGCGTTAAAAGCCCTGAAGCCAATCCAGTCTGTCTACAAACAGGCGTTAAAAGTCCTGAAGCCTATCCAGTCTGTCTACAAACAGGTGTTAAAAGCCCTGAAGCCTATCCAGTCTGTCTACAAACAGGCCTTAAAAGCCCTGAAGCCGATCCAGTCTGTCTACAAACAGGCGTTAAAAGTCCTGAAGCCGATCCAGTCTGTCTACAAACAGGCCTTAAAAGCCCTGAAGCCGATCCAGTCTGTCTACAAACAGGCCTTAAAAGTCCTGAAGCCTATCCAGTCTGTCTACAAACAGGTGTTAAAAGCCCTGAAGCCTATCCAGTCTGTCTACAAACAGGCGTTAAAAGTCCTGAAGCCTATCCAGTCTGTCTACAAACAGGCCTTAAAAGTCCTGAAGCCGATCCAGTCTGTCTACAAACAGGCCTTAAAAGTCCTGAAGCCGATCCAGTCTGTCTACAAACAGGCGTTAAAAGCCCTGAAGCCGATCCAGTCTGTCTACAAACAGGCCTTAAAAGTCCTGAAGCCGATCCAGTCTGTCTACAAACAGGCGTTAAAAGCCCTGAAGCCGATCCAGTCTGTCTACAAACAGGCGTTAAAAGCCCTGGATAGGAAACCTTTCCACCACTGCAGCCTCTTCAAATATAAGATGCTCAGCTGGGAAAACTTGGTAAGATTTCAAGATGGTCTTCTGGTTTTTAAAATCTGAAATTGTCTGGCCCCACCCCCACTAGCAGCAGAAGCACCAGATCTGCTGCCTCTAATAATCTTCTCGTCCCACTAAGAAAAAGTTCCTTTGGCCAATCAGCTTTCTCGGTGCACAGCGTTCAGTTTTGGATCAATCCCAGTCCATATAAGAAATAGCACCACACACTTTTAAACATACGTTAAAAACCTGGTTATTGGACAATCAAGATGTAACCACTCATGATGCATTACTTGCTTTTATATGTTTTAATGACGTGTTTGTTTTAACTAGTCACTCTATATTGTCATGTAATGTATTGTAATTTTTTGCAGTGCACTTTGATGGTATTTTACACGTTGCCTCTGGGACTACAGTTGGAAACTAGCTGTTAGCATGTTAGCTAATACTGACACATTTACAGCAATGTTGATTAATGTGTATCGTTCATATTCAAATAAACTATTAAATAAATAAATACATAAATCAAACACCTGGATATAGCTCACTTCCTGTAGGTCGTCTTTACATTCACAGCATTGAACCCATGCATGTTCAAATGTTAGCATAGCTGGATACTAGCATATCCAGATGTTAGCATATCCAGATGTTAGCATATCCAGATGTTAGCATATCCGGATGTTAACATATTCAGATACTAGCATATCGAGATGTTAGCATATCTGGATGTTAGCATATCCAGATGTTAACATATTCAGATACTAGCATATCCAGATGTTAGCATATCCAGATGTTAGCATATCTGGATGTTAGCATATCTGGATGTTAGCATATCTGGATGTTAGCATATCTGGATGTTAGCATATCCAGATGTTAGCATATCTGGATGTTAGAATATCCAGATGTTAGCATATCTGGATGTTAGCATATCCAGATGTTAACATATTCAGATGTTAGCATATCCAGATGTTAGCATATCCAGATGTTAACATATTCAGATGTTAGCATATCTGGATGTTAACATATCCAGATGTTAACATATCCAGATGTTAGCATATCCAGATGTTAGCATATCCAGATGTTAGCATATCCAGATGTTAGCATATCCAGATGTTAGCATATCCAGATGTTAGCATATTCAGATGTTAGCATAGCTGGATACTAGCATATCCAGATGTTAGCATATCCAGATGTTAGCATATCCAGATGTTAGCATATCCGGATGTTAGCATATCTGGATGTTAGCATATCCAGATGTTAACATATTCAGATGTTAGCATATCCAGATGTTAGCATATCCAGATGTTAGCATATCCAGATGTTAGCATATCTGGATGTTAGAATATCCAGATGTTAGCATATCCAGATGTTAACATATTCAGATGTTAGCATATCTGGATGTTAGCATATCCAGATGTTAGCATATCCAGATGTTAGCATATCCAGATGTTAGCATATCTGGATGTTAGCATATCCAGATGTTAGCATATCCAGATGTTAGCATATCCAGATGTTAACATATCCAGATGTTAGCATATCCAGATGTTAGCATATCTGGATGTTAGCATATCTGGATGTTAGCATATCTGGATGTTAGCATATCTGGATGTTAGCATATCTGGATGTTAGCATATCTGGATGTTAGCATATCCAGATGTTAGCATATCCAGATGTTAACATATTCAGATGTTAGCATATCCGGATGTTAGCATATCCAGATGTTAGCATATCCAGATGTTAGCATATCTGGATGTTAGCATATCCAGATGTTAGCATATTCAGATGTTAGCATATCCAGATGTTAGCATATTCAGATGTTAGCATATCCAGATGTTAGCATATCTGGATGTTAGCATATCCGGATGTTAGCATATCTGGATGTTAGCATATCCAGATGTTAGCATATCCAGATGTTAACATATTCAGATGTTAGCATATCCGGATGTTAGCATATCCGGATGTTAGCATATTCAGATGTTAGCATATCCGGATGTTAGCATATTCAGATGTTAGCATATCCAGATGTTAGCATATCTGGATGTTAGCATATCCAGATGTTAGCATATTCAGATGTTAGCATATCTGGATGTTAGCATATTCAGATGTTAGCATATCCGGATGTTAGCATATCCGGATGTTAGCATATTCAGATGTTAGCATATCGAGATGTTAGCATATCCGGATGTTAGCATATTCAGATGTTAGCATATCCGGATGTTAGCATATCTGGATGTTAGCATATCCGGATGTTAGCATATCCGGATGTTAGCATATCTGGATGTTAGCATATCCAGATGTTAGCATATCCGGATGTTAGCATATCCGGATGTTAGCATATTCAGATGTTAGCATATCCGGATGTTAGCATATCTGGATGTTAGCATATCCGGATGTTAGCATATCCAGATGTTAGCATATCCAGATGTTAGCATATCCAGATGTTAGCATATCTGGATGTTAGCATATCCAGATGTTAGCATATTCAGATGTTAGCATATCCAGATGTTAGCATATCCAGATGTTAGCATATCCAGATGTTAGCATATTTGGATGTTAGCATATCCAGATGTTAACATATCCAGATGTTAGCATATTCAGATGTTAGCATATCCAGATGTTAGCATATCCAGATGTTAGCATATCCGGATGTTAGCATATCTGGATGTTAGCATATCCGGATGTTAGCATATTCAGATGTTAGCATATCTGGATGTTAGCATATTCAGATGTTAGCATATCTGGATGTTAGCATATCCAGATGTTAGCATATCTGGATGTTAGCATATCCGGATGTTAGCATATCCAGATGTTAGCATATCCAGATGTTAGCATATCTGGATGTTAGCATATCCAGATGTTAGCATATCCAGATGTTAGCATATCCAGATGTTAGCATATCCAGATGTTAACATATCCAGATGTTAGCATATCTGGATGTTAGCATATCCAGATGTTAGCATATCGAGATGTTAGCATATCTGGATGTTAGCATATCGAGATGTTAGCATATCTGGATGTTAGCATATCCAGATGTTAGCATATCCAGATGTTAACATATCCAGATGTTAGCATATCTGGATGTTAGCATATCCAGATGTTAGCATATCCAGATGTTAGCATATCCAGATGTTAGCATATCCAGATGTTAGCATATCTGGATGTTAGCATATCCAGATGTTAGCATATCGAGATGTTAGCATATCGAGATGTTAGCATATCTGGATGTTAGCATATCCAGATGTTAGCATATCCAGATGTTAGCATATCTGGATGTTAGCATATCCAGATGTTAGCATATTCAGATGTTAGCATATCCAGATGTTAGCATATCTGGATGTTAGCATATCCAGATGTTAGCATATCCAGATGTTAGCATATCTAGATGTTAGCATATCGAGATGTTAGCATATCGAGATGTTAGCATATCGAGATGTTAGCATATCTGGATGTTAGCATATCCAGATGTTAGCATATTCAGATGTTAGCATATCCAGATGTTAGCATATCTGGATGTTAGCATATCCAGATGTTAGCATATCCAGATGTTAGCATATCTAGATGTTAGCATATCGAGATGTTAGCATATCGAGATGTTAGCATATCTGGATGTTAGCATATCCAGATGTTAGCATATCTGGATGTTAGCATATCGAGATGTTAGCATATCCAGATGTTAGCATATCGAGATGTTAGCATATCTGGGTGTTAGCATATCGAGATGTTAGCATATCGAGATGTTAGCATATCTGGATGTTAGCATATCGAGATGTTAGCATATCTGGATGTTAGCATATCCGGATGTTAGCATATCGAGATGTTAGCATATCTGGATGTTAGCATATCCGGATGTTAGCATATCCAGATGTTAGCATATCCGGATGTTAGCATATTCAGATGTTAGCATATCTGGATGTTAGCATATCGAGATGTTAGCATATCCGGATGTTAGCATATCGAGATGTTAGCATATCCAGATGTTAGCATATCCGGATGTTAGCATATCCGGATGTTAGCATATCCAGATGTTAGCATATCCGGATGTTAGCATATTCAGATGTTAGCATATCTGGATGTTAGCATATCCAGATGTTAGCATATCGAGATGTTAGCATATCCGGATGTTAGCATATCGAGATGTTAGCATATCTGGATGTTAGCATATCCGGATGTTAGCATATCCAGATGTTAGCATATCCGGATGTTAGCATATCCGGATGTTAGCATATCTGGATGTTAGCATATCCGGATGTTAGCATATCTGGATGTTAGCATATCGAGATGTTAGCATATCCGGATGTTAGCATATCCGGATGTTAGCATATCTGGATGTTAGCATATCTGGATGTTAGCATATCGAGATGTTAGCATATCCAGATGTTAGCATATCCGGATGTTAGCATATCCGGATGTTAGCATATCTGGATGTTAGCATATCGAGATGTTAGCATATCCGGATGTTAGCATATCCGGATGTTAGCATATCTGGATGTTAGCATATCGAGATGTTAGCATATCCAGATGTTAGCATATTCAGATGTTAGCATATCTGGATGTTAGCATATCTGGATGTTAGCATATCTGGATGTTAGCATATCCAGATGTTAGCATATCCAGATGTTAGCATATCCAGATGTTAACATATTCAGATGTTAGCATATCCAGATGTTAGCATATCCAGATGTTAGCATATCCAGATGTTAGCATATCTGGATGTTAGCATATCTGGATGTTAGCATATCCAGATGTTAGCATATCCAGATGTTAGCATATCCAGATGTTAGCATATCCGGATGTTAGCATATCGAGATGTTAGCATATCCGGATGTTAGCATATCCAGATGTTAGCATATCTGGATGTTAGCATATCGAGATGTTAGCATATCCGGATGTTAGCATATCCAGATGTTAGCATATCTGGATGTTAGCATATCCAGATGTTAGCATATCCAGATGTTAGCATATCCAGATGTTAGCATATCCGGATGTTAGCATATCGAGATGTTAGCATATCCGGATGTTAGCATATCCAGATGTTAGCATATCTGGATGTTAGCATATCGAGATGTTAGCATATCCGGATGTTAGCATATCCAGATGTTAGCATATCTGGATGTTAGCATATCCGGATGTTAGCATATCCAGATGTTAGCATATCCAGATGTTAGCATATCTGGATGTTAGCATATCGAGATGTTAGCATATCCAGATGTTAGCATATCCAGATGTTAGCATATCCAGATGTTAGCATATCTGGATGTTAGCATATCTGGATGTTAGCATATCCAGATGTTAGCATATCCGGATGTTAGCATATCTGGATGTTAGCATATCTGGATGTTAGCATATCGAGATGTTAGCATATCCGGATGTTAGCATATCCGGATGTTAGCATATCCAGATGTTAGCATATCCGGATGTTAGCATATCTGGATGTTAGCATATCCAGATGTTAGCATATCCGGATGTTAGCATATCTGGATGTTAGCATATCTGGATGTTAGCATATCCAGATGTTAGCATATCCAGATGTTAGCATATCCAGATGTTAGCATATCCAGATGTTAGCATATCCAGATGTTAGCATATCTGGATGTTAGCATATCTGGATGTTAGCATAGACATCTGTGTGTGTGTGTGTGTGTTGCACTCATGCCATGTGTGTATCCTTGTGTTGCAGATGAAGATCGTCTGACGCGGAGGAAGAGTTTTGTGGACACGATCTCACTTCAAGTGGACATCATCTCCAACAGTCTGCCAGACAAGGTGTGTGTGTGTGTGTGTGTGTGTGTGTGTGTGTGTGTGTGTGTGTGTGTGTGTGTGTGTGTGTGTGTGTGTGTGTGTGTGTGTGTGTGTGTGTGTGTGTGTGTGTGTGTGTGTGTGTGTGTGTGTGTGTGCGCGTTTGTTTTAACCTGTTTGTGTTTCTGCAGTCACTGCTGGCAGAGGAGATCACGTTTGAAACCCTGAAGAAGGCGATAGGTTAATACCACTGTGACCTCTGTCCCTCTGACCTCTGTCCCTCTGACCTCTGTCCCTCTGACCCCTGTCCCTCTGACCTCTGTCTATCTGACCCCTGTCCCTCTGACCTCTGTCCCTCTGACCTCTGTCCCTCTGACCTCTGTCCCTCTGACCCCTGTCCCTCTGACCTCTGTCTATCTGACCCCTGTCCCTCTGACCTCTGTCCCTCTGACCTCTGTCTATCTGACCCCTGTCTATCTGACCTCTGTCCCTCTGACCCCTGTCCATCTGACCCCTGTCTATCTGACCCCTGTCCCTCTGACCTCTGTCCCTCTGACCCCTGTCTATCTGACCTCTGTCCCTCTGACCCCTGTCCATCTGACCCCTGTCTATCTGACCCCTGTCTATCTGACCCCTGTCCCTCTGACCTCTGTCCCTCTGACCTCTGTCCCTCTGACCTCTGTCCCTCTGACCCCTGTCCCTCTGACCCCTGTCCCTCTGACCTCTGTCCCTCTGACCTCTGTCTATCTGACCCCTGTCTATCTGACCTCTGTCCCTCTGACCCCTGTCCATCTGACCCCTGTCTATCTGACCCCTGTCCCTCTGACCTCTGTCCCTCTGACCCCTGTCTATCTGACCCCTGTCCCTCTGACCCCTGTCCCTCTGACCCCTGTCCCTCTGACCCCTGTCTATCTGACCCCTGTCTATCTGACCCCTGTCCCTCTGACCCCTGTCCCTCTGACCTCTGTCCCTCTGACCCCTGTCCCTCTGACCTCTGTCCCTCTGACCTCTGTCCCTCTGACCCCTGTCCCTCTGACCTCTGTCCCTCTGACCCCTGTCCATCTGACCCCTGTCTATCTGACCCCTGTCCCTCTGACCTCTGTCCCTCTGACCTCTGTCCCTCTGACCTCTGTCCCTCTGACCTCTGTCCCTCTGACCTCTGTCCCTCTGACCCCTGTCTATCTGACCCCTGTCCCTCTGACCCCTGTCCCTCTGACCTCTGTCCCTCTGACCTCTGTCCCTCTGACCCCTGTCCCTCTGACCTCTGTCCCTCTGACCCCTGTCTATCTGACCCCTGTCCCTCTGACCCCTGTCCCTCTGACCTCTGTCCCTCTGACCCCTGTCTATCTGACCCCTGTCCCTCTGACCCCTGTCCCTCTGACCTCTGTCCCTCTGACCCCTGTCTATCTGACCCCTGTCTATCTGACCTCTGTCCCTCTGACCTCTGTCCCTCTGACCTCTGTCCCTCTGACCCCTGTCTATCTGACCTCTGTCCCTCTGACCTCTGTCCCTCTGACCTCTGTTCCTCTGACCTCTGTCCCTCTGACCTCTGTCCCTCTGACCTCTGTCTATCTGACCCCTGTCCCTCTGACCTCTGTCCCTCTGACCTCTGTCCCTCTGACCTCTGTCCCTCTGACCTCTGTCCCTCTGACCTCTGTCCCTCTGATCCCTGTCTATCTGACCCCTGTCCCTCTGACCCCTGTCCCTCTGACCTCTGTCCCTCTGACCTCTGTCCCTCTGACCTCTGTCCCTCTGACCTCTGTCCCTCTGACACCTGTCCCTCTGACCTCTGTCCCTCTGACCCCTGTCTATCTGACCCCTGTCCCTCTGACCCCTGTCCCTCTGACCTCTGTCCCTCTGACCCCTGTCTATCTGACCCCTGTCCCTCTGACCCCTGTCCCTCTGACCTCTGTCCCTCTGACCCCTGTCTATCTGACCCCTGTCTATCTGACCTCTGTCCCTCTGACCTCTGTCCCTCTGACCTCTGTCCCTCTGACCTCTGTCCCTCTGACCTCTGTCCCTCTGACCTCTGTCTATCTGACCCCTGTCCCTCTGACCTCTGTCCCTCTGACCCCGGTCCCTCTGACTCCTGTCCCTCTGACCCCTGTTCCTCTGACCCCTGTCTATCTGACCTCTGACCCCTGTCCCTCTGACCCCTGTCTTTCTGACCTCTGACCCCTGTCCCTCTGACCCCTGACCTCTGACTTTTGTCTCTCTGACCCTCAGACCCCAGTGGGCTGGAGGAGCAGGAGCGGGAGAGGAGGCGTCTGCTCCTGGATAAGTTCCAGAAAGCTCCGTTTGAAGAGATCGCTGCTCACTGCGAGTCCAAGGTCAGAGGTCATTTATACTGTTCTGTAAATGTCTGTGATTGCACTCTGTAAAGGTCTGTGATTGCACTCTGTAAAGGTCTGTGATTGCACTCTGTAAATGTCTGTGATTGCACTCTGTAAATGTCTGTGATTGCACTCTGTAAATGTCTGTGATTGCACTCTGTAAAGGTCTGTGATTGCACTCTGTAAATGTCTGTGATTGCACTCTGTAAATGTCTGTGATTGCACTCTGTAAATGTCTGTGATTGCACTCTGTAAATGTCTGTGATTGCACTCTGTAAAGGTCTGTGATTGCACTCTGTAAAGGTCTGTGATTGCACTCTGTAAAGGTCTGTGATTGCACTCTGTAAATGTCTGTGATTGCACTCTGTAAAGGTCTGTGATTGCACTCTGTAAAGGGCTGTGATTGCACTCTGTAAAGGTCTGTGATTGCACTCTGTAAATGTCTGTGATTACACTCTGTAAATGTCTGTGATTGCACTCTGTAAATGTCTGTGATTGCACTCTGTAAAGGGCTGTGATTGCACTCTGTAAATGTCTGTGATTGCACTCTGTAAATGTCTGTGATTGCACTCTGTAAAGGGCTGTGATTGCACTCTGTAAAGGTCTGTGATTGCACTCTGTAAATGTCTGTGATTGCACTCTGTAAAGGTCTGTGATTGCACTCTGTAAAGGTCTGTGATTGCACTCTGTAAATGTCTGTGATTGCACTCTGTAAAGGTCTGTGATTGCACTCTGTAAAGGTCTGTGATTGCACTCTGTAAATGTCTGTGATTGCACTCTGTAAAGGTCTGTGATTGCACTCTGTAAAGGTCTGTGATTGCACTCTGTAAAGGTCTGTGATTGCACTCTGTAAAGGTCTGTGATTGCACTCTGTAAAGGTCTGTGATTGCACTCTGTAAAGGTCTGTGATTGCACTCTGTAAAGGGCTGTGATTGCACTCTGTAAATGTCTGTGATTGCACTCTGTAAATGTCTGTGATTGCACTCTGTAAAGGTCTGTGATTGCACTCTGTAAAGGTCTGTGATTGCACTCTGTAAAGGTCTGTGATTGCACTCTGTAAAGGTCTGTGATTGCACTCTGTAAAGGGCTGTGATTGCACTCTGTAAAGGTCTGTGATTGCACTCTGTAAATGTCTGTGATTGCACTCTGTAAATGTCTGTGATTGCACTCTGTAAAGGTCTGTGATTGCACTCTGTAAATGTCTGTGATTGCACTCTGTAAAGGTCTGTGATTGCACTCTGTAAAGGGCTGTGATTGCACTCTGTAAAGGTCTGTGATTGCACTCTGTAAATGTCTGTGATTGCACTCTGTAAATGTCTGTGATTGCACTCTGTAAATGTCTGTGATTGCACTCTGTAAAGGGCTGTGATTGCACTCTGTAAATGTCTGTGATTGCACTCTGTAAATGTCTGTGATTGCACTCTGTAAATGTCTGTGATTGCACTCTGTAAAGGGCTGTGATTGCACTCTGTAAATGTCTGTGATTGCACTCTGTAAATGTCTGTGATTGCACTCTGTAAAGGGCTGTGATTGCACTCTGTAAAGGTCTGTGATTGCACTCTGTAAAGGTCTGTGATTGCACTCTGTAAATGTCTGTGATTGCACTCTGTAAATGTCTGTGATTGCACTCTGTAAAGGTCTGTGATTGCACTCTGTAAAGGTCTGTGATTGCACTCTGTAAATGTCTGTGATTGCACTCTGTGTTCCAGGCCAACATGCTCCATGACAAACTGGCTCAGATCTTTGAGCTCACCATACGGTGAGTTTACGCAACACGCAACTATTTTCATTGATGGTTCTTTCTGGACCATGAGACGACTGTTTGAACTGGTCTTCCATGAAGCTCTGATTCTACCACAAGAATCACAAACATTGCTACATTAGCAGCATCGCTACATTAGCCGCGTTGCTACATTAGCAGCATCGCTACATTAGCCGCGTTGCTACATTAGCAGCATCGCTACATTAGCCGCGTTGCTACATTAGCAGCATCGCTACATTAGCCGCATAAGTGTATAAGACACAGGGATCAAACCGATAAAAGTAGCGGCTTATAGTCCGGAAATCCCTATCTATACTATAGCCGTAAACCTCATCCTTATGTGACAGATGCAAGTATTGCACACGTGTTGACAGATGTGAGTATTGCACACGTGTTGACAGATGTGAGTATTGCACACGTGTTGACAGATGTGAGTATTGCACACGTGTTGACAGATGCAAGTATTGCACAAGTGTTGACAGATGCGAGTATTGCACACGTGTTGACAGATGCAAGTATTGCACAAGTGTTGACAGATGCGAGTATTGCACACGTGTTGACAGATGCGAGAATTGCACACGTGTTGACAGATGCGAGTATTGCACACGTGTTGACAGATGTGAGAATTGCACACGTGTTGACAGATGCGAGTATTGCACACGTGTGGACAGATGCGAGTATTGCACACGTGTTGACAGATGTGAGAATTGCACACGTGTGGACAGATGCGAGTATTGCACACGTGTGGACAGATGCGAGTATTGCACACGTGTTGACAGATGCGAGTATTGCACACGTGTGGACAGATGCGAGTATTGCACACGTGTTGACAGATGCGAGTATTGCACACGTGTTGACAGATGCGAGTATTTCACCCGTGTGGACAGATGCGAGTATTGCACACGTGTGGACAGATGCGAGTATTGCACACGTGTGGACAGATGCGAGTATTGCACACGTGTGGACAGATGCGAGTATTGCACACGTGTGGACAGATGCGAGTATTGCACACGTGTGGACAGATGCGAGTATTGCACATGTGTTGACAGATGTGAGAATTGCACACGTGTTGACAGATGCGAGTATTGCACACGTGTTGACAGATGCGAGTATTGCACACGTGTTGACAGATGCGAGTATTGCACACGTGTGGACAGATGCGAGTATTGCACACGTGTGGACAGATGCGAGTATTGCACACGTGTGGACAGATGCGAGTATTGCACACGTGTGGACAGATGCGAGTATTGCACACGTGTGGACAGATGCGAGTATTGCACACGTGTGGACAGATGCGAGTATTGCACACGTGTTGACAGATGTGAGAATTGCACACGTGTTGACAGATGCGAGTATTGCACACGTGTGGACAGATGCGAGTATTTCACCCGTGTGGACAGATGCGAGTATTGCACACGTGTGGACAGATGCGAGTATTTCACCCGTGTGGACAGATGCGAGTATTGCACACGTGTGGACAGATGCGAGTATTTCACCCGTGTGGACAGATGCGAGTATTGCACACGTGTTGACATTATTGCACATATTGACCCTGTTCTCCCCCCGCAGCCCGCCCCCCAGCCCCTCCGGAGTGAATCCCTCCACAGGCCTCCCCCAGCACCAGTCTGTCCCTGTGTACGAGATGAAGTTCCCCGACCTGTGTGTATACTGACCCCGCTGGAGGGAGCAGGAAGTGCAGCCTCCTCACCTCCATCTGTCGCGGTCTACTTCCTGTGGGTCAGAGTTCTACTTCCTGTGGACGTCTCAAAGAATACAATCATAAAACATTTTGCACTGGGAGAAGACACAATCTGTCATTTCCAAGGACTTGATTCACCAAGAGCAAATTAGAAAATCATTAGTAGTAGTATCTTCAGTAAGATCCTGAAGTGCAACAGCATGATTTTAGAGGCAAAAAAATGATGAAAATGTAGTTTTTGTGTTATTTGCTTGTGATGATGTAAGGATAGAAACAGAGTCCTATGACCCACGTATTGAAGAGGAAAGATATGCACAACGTTTAGCTCCGTACGATTATAGAGCTGGATGTTTCCATGGCGACGGCTTTTTCCCGTTTAAAATATGAAAACGCAAAAGCTGTGCTGAAACTCACTGATAGAATGCAAAGCAAGTTTATTGGTGTAGCACGGTTCATACACAAGACACAGAAGAAGCCTGAGATCTGCCTCCTCATCTTTAGTCCTGACTCTGGGACCAGCAGGAGGCCCGTCCCTGTGATCCTCAGAGTCCCAGCAGGAGGCCCGTCCCTGTGATCCTCAGAGTCCCAGCAGGAGTCCAGTCCCTGTGCTCCTCAGAGTCCCAGCAGGAGTCCAGTCCCTGTGCTCCTCAGTCCCAGCAGGAGGCCAGTCCTTGTGCTCCTCAGAGTCCCAGCAGGAGGCCAGTCCCTGTGCTCCTCAGAGTCCCAGCAGGAGTCCAGTCCCTGTGCTCCTCAGAGTCCCAGCAGGAGGCCAGTCCCTGTGATCCTCAGAGTCCCAGCAGGAGGCCAGTCCCTGTGCTCCTCAGAGTCCCAGCAGGAGTCCAGTCCCTGTGCTCCTCAGAGTCCCAGCAGGAGTCCAGTCCCTGTGCTCCTCAGTCCCAGCAGGAGGCCAGTCCTTGTGCTCCTCAGAGTCCCAGCAGGAGGCCAGTCCCTGTGCTCCTCAGAGTCCCAGCAGGAGTCCAGTCCCTGTGCTCCTCAGAGTCCCAGCAGGAGGCCAGTCCCTGTGTTCCTCAGAGTCCCAGCAGGAGGCCAGTCCCTGTGATCCTCAGAGTCCCAGCAGGAGGCCAGTCCCTGTGCTCCTCAGAGTCCCAGCAGGAGGCCAGTCCCTGTGCTCCTCAGAGTCCCAGCAGGAGTCCAGTCCCTGTGCTCCTCAGAGTCCCAGCAGGAGGCCAGTCCCTGTGCTCCTCAGAGTCCCAGCAGGAGGCCAGTCCCTGTGATCCTCAGAGTCCCAGCAGGAGGCCAGTCCCTGTGCTCCTGTGGGCCTGTGTGTTGGTTCCGTTTTGTCCAGAAACGACAAAAACAAGCTTTTAAAACTGATGAAACACAGGTACATTGGTACCTGTGCACCTTGGTCTGAGCCGTGGAACAGCACCAGCTTCTCTTGTTGTGAATCAGTAAAAGTAGACTTCAAAGTTTTGTGTGAATCTTTTGAGCTGAAAGACTGAGAGAGAAGTGTTATATTTGATGTGTCTAAGGGCTGCGATCAGCAATAATGCAACTTTAGAATGTAGAACATTAAGGAACCAATAAATGTGCAGTTATAACCAGGACTTATGTGACATCACAAGCTTTGGAATCATATGCAACAATACTACAGCTGTTTATGACTAAACAAGACCACAGACTCTGTGTAATGGACAATGCTAATCCGCTAGCTCAATGCTAATCCGCTAGCTAAATGCTAATCCGCTAGCTCAATACTAACCCACCAGCTCAATACTAACCAGCTAACTTGCTAGCTCAATGCTAACCTACTAGCTCAATGGAGCCCTTTAAAGAAGTGCTCTGATGACCCTTTGGGTTAGGGATTACAGCTGTGATGCTAATGTTTACTTTTTGGTTGTTTTTCCAGTTCAATAATCCTAATTCTGCTCCTGTGGACTCACCACCTGCAGGAGGATCAGTGAGGGGCTGGTGCTCTGTGTCCTGGGTGCAGCTCTGACTGCCACCCCCCCGACCCAGAAATGGATTAAGGGGAAGAAAATGGATGGATGATCCTAATTCTACTTCACTCTGGCGCGTTAAACACTTATCCACTGTTCTTTAAATCCTGTTTCTTTAGGCACAAAAACCTTTTTGGTGCTGAGCTTGAGTTTACTTTTCTATGTGAGTCAGAGAGAGGTGGATCAAATCTCTGTCTGTGAGCACTTCCCCATCGGGCTTTATTGAGCTAGCAGGTTAGCACAAAGATGTACTTAGACCCTGCGGACACTCGGTGTAATCTGTTGAAGACAGTCTTGGCTGCCAGGGCTGTCATTCCAACCAATCAGAGCACAGCTGACTCCGCCCACTTCTGTGCTGTGACCAGAGCTATATCTCAGATTGTAATGATTTACGTGATGTTGAGTCCGGAATGTGCTTTCGGCATTGGGCCCTTAAACCCTCCACTGGGCCCTTTAACCCATGGAGCAGATGAAGCAGTTGGAGCAGATGAAGCAGATGAAGCAGATGAAGCAGTTGGAGCAGATGGAGCAGTTGGAGCAGTTGGAGCAGATGAAGCAGATGAAGCAGATGGAGCAGTTGGAGCAGATGAAGCAGTTGGAGCAGATGAAGCAGATGAAGCAGTTGGAGCAGATGAAGCAGTTGAAGCAGTTGGAGCAGATGAAGCAGATGAAGCAGTTGAAGCAGTTGGAGCAGATGAAGCAGATGAAGCAGTTGGAGCAGATGAAGCAGTTGAAGCAGTTGGAGCAGATGAAGCAGTTGGAGCAGATGAAGCAGATGAAGCAGATGGAGCAGTTGGAGCAGATGGAGCAGTTGGAGCAGATGAAGCAGATGGAGCAGTTGGAGCAGATGAAGCAGATGAAGCAGATGGAGCAGTTGGAGCAGATGAAGCAGATGAAGCAGATGGAGCAGTTGGAGCAGATGAAGCAGATGAAGCAGATGAAGCAGTTGAAGCAGTTGGAGCAGATGAAGCAGTTGGAGCAGATGAAGCAGTTGGAGCAGATGAAGCAGTTGGAGCAGATGAAGCAGTTGGAGCAGATGAAGCAGTTGGAGCAGATGAAGCAGTTGAAGCAGTTGGAGCAGATGAAGCAGTTGGAGCAGATGAAGCAGTTGGAGCAGATGAAGCAGATGAAGCAGATGAAGCAGTTGGAGCAGATGAAGCAGTTGGAGCAGATGAAGCAGTTGGAGCAGATGAAGCAGTTGGAGCAGATGAAGCAGTTGGAGCAGATGAAGCAGTTGGAGCAGATGAAGCAGTTGGAGCAGTTGGAGCAGATGAAGCAGTTGGAGCAGATGAAGCAGTTGGAGCAGATGAAGCAGTTGGAGCAGATGAAGCAGTTGGAGCAGATGAAGCAGTTGAAGCAGTTGGAGCAGATGAAGCAGATGAAGCAGATGAAGCAGTTGGAGCAGATGAAGCAGTTGGAGCAGATGAAGCAGTTGGAGCAGATGAAGCAGTTGGAGCAGATGAAGCAGTTGGAGCAGATGGAGCAGATGAAGCAGATGAAGCAGTTGGAGCAGATGAAGCAGATGAAGCAGTTGGAGCAGATGAAGCAGTTGGAGCAGATGAAGCAGATGAAGCAGTTGGAGCAGATGAAGCAGATGAAGCAGTTGGAGCAGTTGGAGCAGATGGAGCAGATGAAGCAGTTGAAGCAGTTGGAGCAGATGAAGCAGATGGAGCAGATGAAGCAGTTGGAGCAGATGAAGCAGATGAAGCAGATGAAGCAGATGAAGCAGTTGGAGCAGATGAAGCAGTTGGAGCAGTTGGAGCAGATGAAGCAGATGGAGCAGATGAAGCAGTTGGAGCAGATGAAGCAGATGAAGCAGTTGGAGCAGTTGGAGCAGATGAAGCAGATGGAGCAGATGGAGCAGTTGGAGCAGATGAAGCAGTTGGAGCAGATGAAGCAGATGAAGCAGTTGGAGCAGATGAAGCAGTTGGAGCAGATGGAGCAGATGAAGCAGATGAAGCAGTTGAAGCAGTTGGAGCAGATGAAGCAGTTGAAGCAGTTGGAGCAGATGAAGCAGATGGAGCAGATGAAGCAGATGAAGCAGATGAAGCAGTTGGAGCAGATTAAGCAGTTGAAGCAGTTGAAGCAGTTGGAGCAGTTAAAGCAGTTGGAGCAGATGAAGCAGATGAAGCAGTTGAAGCAGTTGGAGCAGATGAAGCAGATGAAGCAGATTAAGCAGATTAAGCAGATGAATCAGATGAAGCAGTTGGAGCAGTTGGAGCAGATGAAGCAGTTGAAGCAGATGAAGCAGATGAAGAAGTTGGAGCAGATGAAGCAGTTGGAGCAGTTGGAGCAGATGAAGCAGTTGGAGCAGATGAAGCAGATGAAGCAGTTGAAGCAGATGAAGCAGTTGGAGCAGATGAAGCAGATGAAGCAGTTGGAGCAGATGAAGCAGTTGGAGCAGATGAAGCAGTTGGAGCAGATGAAGCAGTTGGAGCAGTTGGAGCAGATGGAGCAGATGAAGCAGATGAAGCAGTTGGAGCAGATGAAGCAGATGAAGCAGTTGGAGCAGATGAAGCAGTTGGAGCAGATGAATCAGTTGGAGCAGATGAAGCAGATGAAGCAGTTGGAGCAGATGAAGCAGTTGGAGCAGATGAAGCAGTTGGAGCAGTTGGAGCAGATGGAGCAGATGAAGCAGTTGAAGCAGTTGGAGCAGATGAAGCAGATGGAGCAGATGAAGCAGATGAAGCAGTTGGAGCAGATGAAGCAGATGAAGCAGATGGAGCAGATGGAGCAGATGGAGCAGATGAAGCAGATGAAGCAGTTGAAGCAGTTGGAGCAGATGAAGCAGATGAAGCAGTTGGAGCAGATGAAGCAGTTGGAGCAGTTGGAGCAGATGAAGCAGATGAAGCAGATGGAGCAGATGAAGCAGTTGGAGCAGATGAAGCAGATGAAGCAGTTGGAGCAGATGAAGCAGATGAAGCAGATTAAGCAGATTAAGCAGATGAATCAGATGAAGCAGTTGGAGCAGTTGGAGCAGATGAAGCAGTTGAAGCAGATGAAGCAGATGAAGAAGTTGGAGCAGATGAAGCAGTTGGAGCAGTTGGAGCAGATGAAGCAGTTGGAGCAGATGAAGCAGATGAAGCAGTTGAAGCAGATGAAGCAGTTGAGCAAGATGAAGCAGAGCAGAAGCAGTTGGAGCAGATGAAGCAGTTGGAGAGCATGAAGCAGTTGGAGCAGATGAAGCAGTTGGAGCAGTTGGAGCAGATGAGCAGATGAAGCAGATGAAGCAGTTGAGCAGATGAAGCAGATGAAGCAGTTGGAGCAGATGAAGCAGTTGGAGCAGATGAAGCAGTTGAGCAGATGAAGCAGATGAAGCAGTTGGAGCAGATGAAGCAGTTGGAGCAGATGAAGCAGTTGGAGCAGTTGGAGCAGATGGAGCAGATGAAGCAGTTGAAGCAGTTGGAGCAGATGAAGCAGATGGAGCAGATGAAGCAGATGAAGCAGTTGGAGCAGATGAAGCAGATGAAGCAGATGGAGCAGATGGAGCAGATGGAGCAGATGAAGCAGATGAAGCAGTTGAAGCAGTTGGAGCAGATGAAGCAGATGAAGCAGTTGGAGCAGATGAAGCAGTTGGAGCAGTTGGAGCAGATGAAGCAGATGAAGCAGATGGAGCAGATGAAGCAGTTGGAGCAGATGAAGCAGATGAAGCAGTTGGAGCAGATGAAGCAGATGAAGCAGATGGAGCAGATGAAGCAGTTGGAGCAGATGAAGCAGTTGGAGCAGATGAAGCAGATGAAGCAGTTGGAGCAGATGAAGCAGTTGGAGCAGATGAAGCAGATGAAGCAGTTGAAGCAGTTGGAGCAGATGAAGCAGTTGAAGCAGTTGGAGCAGATGAAGCAGTTGGAGCAGATGAAGCAGATGAAGCAGATGAAGCAGATGAAGCAGATGAAGCAGTTGGAGCAGATGAAGCAGTTGAAGCAGTTGGAGCAGTTGAAGCAGTTGGAGCAGTTGGAGCAGATGAAGCAGATGAAGCAGATGAAGCAGATGAAGCAGTTGAAGCAGTTGGAGCAGATGAAGCAGATGAAGCAGATGAAGCAGATTAAGCAGATTAAGCAGATGAATCAGATGAAGCAGTTGGAGCAGTTGGAGCAGTTGGAGCAGATGAAGCAGTTGGAGCAGATGAAGCAGATGAAGCAGATGAAGCAGTTGGAGCAGATGAAGCAGTTGGAGCAGTTGGAGCAGATGAAGCAGTTGGAGCAGATGAAGCAGATGAAGCAGATGAAGCAGTTGAAGCAGATGAAGCAGATGAAGCAGTTGAAGCAGATGAAGCAGTTGGAGCAGATGAAGCAGATGAAGCAGTTGGAGCAGATGAAGCAGTTGAAGCAGTTGGAGCAGATGAAGCAGATGGAGCAGATGAAGCAGATGAAGCAGATGAAGCAGTTGAAGCAGATGAAGCAGATGAAGCAGTTGGAGCAGATGAAGCAGTTGAAGCAGTTGGAGCAGTTAAAGCAGTTGGAGCAGATGAAGCAGATGAAGCAGATGAAGCAGATGAAGCAGTTGGAGCAGTTGAAGCAGATGAAGCAGTTGGAGCAGATGAAGCAGTTGGAGCAGATGGAGCAGTTGGAGCAGATGAAGCAGATGGAGCAGATGAAATGAGATTTTAGAGAAAGTGACATTTTCCCTGTGACAGTTGTTTTAGAATTTAGCTCATTATGAAAGTATCGCTGCTTCAGCTCAAGATGTAGTAAAGGCCTAAAATATATAAACCATAAATACATTCATATATATATATATATATATATATATAATATATATACATTTATGTACTTATATAATAGATATTTCCGTACATGACTAACACCGCTGAGACTTTTACAGATGTGTATTTCAGAAAAAAGGATTCGTTTTTTGGACGTGTTTCAAACTGTGGTCCTCGAGCTTTGTGTGGATCAGGATTCAGCCCCAGATTTCACAATCACACACTTCTTTACAGTCGCACACTTCTTTACAGTCACACACTTCTTTACAGTCGCACACTTCTTTACAGTCGCACACTTCTTTACAGTCGCACACTTCTTTACAGTCGCACACTTCTTTTCAGTCGCACACTTCTTTACAGTCACACTCTTCTTTACAATCGCGCACACTTTACAATCGCACACTTCTTTACAGTCACACACTTCTTTACAGTCACACACTTCTTTACAGTCGCACACTTTTTTACAGTCGCACACTTCTTTACAATCGCACACTTCTTTACAGTCGCACACTTCTTTACAATCGCACACTTCTTTACAATCGCACACTTCTTTACAGTCGCACACTTCTTTACAGTCGCACACTTCTTTACAGTCGCACACTTCTTTACAGTCGCACACTTCTTTACAGTCGCACACTTCTTTACAGTCGCACACTTCTTTACAATCGCGCACACTTTACAATCGCACACTTCTTTACAGTCACACACTTCTTTACAGTCACACACTTTTTTACAGTCGCACACTTCTTTACAATCGCACACTTCTTTACAGTCGCACACTTCTTTACAATCGCACACTTCTTTACAATCGCACACTTCTTTACATTCGCACACTTCTTTACAATCGCGCACTTCTTTACAGTCGTGCACTTCTTTACAATTGCACACTTCTTTACAGTCGCACACTTTACAGTCGCACACTTTACAATCGCACACTACTTTACAATCGCACACTTCTTTACAGTCGCACACTTTACAGTCGCACACTTTACAGTCGCACATTTTACAGTCGCACACTTCTTTACAGTCGCACACTTTACAGTCGCACACTTCTTTACAATCGCACACTTCTTTACAGTCGCACACTTCTTTACAGTCGCACACTTTACAGTCGCACACTTCTTTACAGTCGCACACTTTACAGTCGCACACTTCTTTACAGTCGCACACTTCTTTACAGTCGCACACTTCTTTACAGTCGCACACTTCTTTACAATCGCACACTTCTTTACAATCGCACACTTCTTTACAGTCGCACACTTCTTTACAGTCACACACTGTCTCCTTAAGTCTACAGTCTCTGGAACATTCCGCAGGTGTCAGGTCTGTGGAGACGAGAGCTTTTAGAAAAATACATTTGTTACAAATTGGTAAATTATAAGAAAATGAAACAGACTTGAATCAAAACTGATTTATCTTCTTTGAAAAGACTTTAGATCCTGAGACTTTGGGACAAACTGGGAATAAGAATCTGACGTCTTTGCTGCGGCTGCTGCAGCGTCTGAATTCTGGGGCTAAATCTGAACAAAAATGTGACATTTCTGTGAACGATGCAGTAAAAAGAGACCATGTGACTTTGATGAACTAGAATCTAAACCATGTAGAGACGAAGGTTCTTAACCTGATGTTTGTGCCAGAGGCCCCACTCACACGGCTTTGGAGGCCTGTGATTGGCTGTTCACTTCCTGGTGAGGCCTGTGATTGGCTGTTCACTTCCTGGTGGGTGGAGCCTCCTTTTATACTTAATGTGCAATGTTCAAAGAGAATGAAATAAATTGATGCAATATCTGTGTTTGTGCTTTTGAACCTGCCTCGTGTTTGGGTTGCCAGGTTTTAAATATATCTGTATTCTGGTCCATGTTAGAGAAGTTAACCCTTTAGGCACCAAAGAGCTCCAGCATCAGGGCACTTTCTATACAGGTCCCTGGCCTCACACAAACATGTCTTTATCCTTCAAAGTTCCTATTTTCTGTTTCACATCATTTTGACAGTTTTAAAAATCTTATTAATGAAGACATTTATTTCTGAACCTGTACAACACAATTTTACAACAGAATAACAGACGCCTCTGAACGAGTAGAATAAGTAACACAATTAGGTTTACAACAACACACACACAGACAGGATACCGGCCCAGACACTCTCTGACCCTACACCTCACCTCTTCCTCCTCATGCTTCTTTAACAATTTATAACAAGTTTTTTTATAAAAGTTTCCACCGAGAGACAAAGCAGTTTGTCCTGTGACTCACGGAAATGAAAGAATATGGAAAATATTTTGGATTTCATCGTTTGAGAATTCTGCCTTTTGTCAATCTAACCTTCTGTGTTCATTTTACAAAAACTAAAAAATCATATCGATCCAATGACTTGAAGTACTTTGTTTTCTGGCACTTTGTGTGAAGCACTTTGTGTGAAGCACTTTGTGTGAAACACTTTGTGTGAAACACTTTGTGTGAAACACTTTGTGTGAAACACTTTGTGTGAAACACTTTGTGTGAAACACTTTGTGTGAAACACTTTGTGTGAAGCACTTTGTGTGAAGCACTTTGTGTGAAACACTTTGTGTGAAACACTTTGTGTGAAACACTTTGTGTGAAGCACTTTGTGTGAAGCACTTTGTGTGAAGCACTTTGTAACCTATTTTCAAAGGTGCTATAGAAATAAACCACAGTCACAGCGGCGAGAGTCGCTCCGAGTCGACAATGAATAATGTGGGTCCCAGCACTGACCCCTGTGGCACCCCACTGTCCCTGATGGACTTTTTTAAAACCATTTGTAGTTTCTTTGACTGAAAGTGGATCTGACCTAAAGCCTGACCGACACATCACACATCAGTCGTTTGTGTCAAATACAGTATTTTCAAATCTGAGGCAGAAGGACACAAACCCATGATCTGAGCTGACCCTTGGGATCACTTCTGCATTTGTGGAAAAGTCACGTTGAAAGATCCTGGTGTCAGAACTTTTATGCTGCATTTGTCACAGAAACATTAAGTTATTTATTTTTATTTTCTGCAATTATTTATGTGTATGTGTGTGTGTGTATATATGTGTACATATGTATATGTGTTTGTGTGTATGTGTGTATGTATGTATATATGTATGTATATGTATGCATGTGTATACATTCGTACACATATATACCTTATTTTTATTTTATTTTTATTTTTTTTACTTGAAGTTATTTTTCCCTTTTTAGGAACATGCTTACTTATTTACCCTTTTTACAGCCAAACATTCTACGAGATACACTGTCAACCTGGAGACGAACTGGGGAGGGAGGGTGGTAGTGGGAGGGGGGGGTTGTGTATATATAATAAAAAAACACGCACATAGACTGTACTTGCTGTCAACAACTGTAAATGCATCTAATTGTGTGTGTAACAAACAATAAAAAATAAAAAAAAACAAACAAACATTAAGTTAGAGTTTCAGCATTATAGACTAAATATGATCGAGTCGTGGAAAACATGGAAAACAAGGATTTGTCTGAGTTTAACTAAACGTTGACAATGGCTCGTCCTCAGTACGGTGCAAAACTTTTCAAAGATGGAAACTTTCCGTGGGAATTTAGAGGAATAAACTGGGAATTTACCAAATTGAAGATTAGCTTTTCATTGGGAACTTAAATATAGCTGAGGAAAGTATATTTTGGCATAATCTTGATAAAAACAAACAAAATTCATTCAAATACACTTGAGTATCCAGGTAATTTCTCTATCACAGACACAGCCACTGAGACAGCGCCCCCTACTGGCCATGCTTCAGGAGGACATAGATTCATATATGTTTCATGTGGGATGTTTTGGAAAGAGGGAGGGCTTTTAAATAATTTTCCCCATTAAGTTCCCCAACTTAACGACCCATGAAAATTTACCAAAAATGTTCTGGAATGTCCACTCTTTTGCCGCCCTCGTCCTCAGTCTGTTGGACTAATAGAACATCCAGGGCGTCCATTGGTCCTCAGGCTTCTGCTCCAGTTCTACTGTCTCAGTGGGGGGGGCTGCTTCTGCCTGCTGCCCCTGGGGGGGGCGCAGACTCATAGGAGGGGCCTTTGGAAGGTCTGCTGGGAAAGCCGGGGCTTCTAAGTGTGTTTGGGCTCCTGGGTGGATGGGGGTTTCTGAGTGTGTTTGGGGTCCTGGCTGGAAGGAGGTTTCTAAGTGTGTTTGGGCTCCTGGGTGGAAGGAGGTTTCTAAGTGTGTTTGGGCTCCTGGGTGGACGGGGGTTTCTAAGTGTGTTTGGGCTCCTGGGTGGAAGGAGGTTTCTAAGTGTGTTTGGGCTCCTGTGTGGAAGGAGGTTTCTAAGTGTGTTTGGGCTCCTGGGTGGACGGGGGTTTCTAAGTGTGTTTGGGCTCCTGGGTGGAAGGAGGTTTCTAAGTGTGTTTGGGCTCCTGGGTGGAAGGAGGTTTCTGAGTGTGTTTGGGCTCCTGGGTGGAAGGAGGTTTCTGAATGTGTTTGGGGTCCTGTGTGGAAGGAGGTTTCTAAGTGTGTTTGGGCTCCTGGATGAGGAGCTGGGCGGGGGGGGTCCGATAGGAACTGCTCGGTCAGGTGCCCTGGATTCTGCGAGTGGCTTTGAGCCTCTAACCCTAACCCTGGGAGGGACGGGTACAAAGTTTGTCCCATGTGGGTTTGCTGTAGTGGCCGCGATGGCTTCCCTGCTGGTCCCTGTGCTCCCTGAGCTCCCTGTGCTCCCTGTAGCTCCTGGCCTGGCTCCTCCTCCTCTGGTTGTTCTCCGCCTGCTCCTCCTTCAGGTGGACTTGCCGTGGGTCTGGTCTGGTCTTGTTGCTGATGCTTGTCTCCTCCCTGCGACAAACGTGGGGACCACAATGTGAAAATCAGAATCTGTTTACAATAATTAATTAATCATGATCCAGCATTTTTTCCAGTGGCTCTGGACCGGGTAGCAAAGTTAAATACATACAGTGCCTTGCGAAAGTATTCGCCCCCCTTGAACCTTTCAACATTTCGCCACATTTCAGTCTTCAAACATAAAGATATAAATTTCAATTTTTTGTCATGAATCAACAACAAGTGGGACACAATCTTGAAGTGGAATGAAATTTGTTGGATAATTTAAACTTTTTTAACAAATAAAAAACTGAAAAGTGGGGCATGCAATATTATTGGGCCCCTTTACTTTCAGTGCAGCAAACTCAGTCCAGAAGTTCAGTGAGGATCTTTGAATGATCCAATGTTGTCCTAAATGACTGATGATGATAAATAGAATGCACCTGTGTGTAATCAAGTCTCCGTATAAATGCACCTGCTCTTTGATAGTCTCAGGGTTCTGTTTAAAGCACAGAGAGAACCATGAAGACAAAGGAACACACCAGGCAGGTCCGAGATACTGTTGTGGAGAAGTTTAAAGCCGGATTTGGATACAAAAAGATTTCCCAAGCTTTAAACATCTCAAGGAGCACTGTGCAAGCAATTATATTGAAATGGAAGGAGTATCAGACCACTGCAAATCTACCAAGACTCGGCCGTCCCTCCAAACTTTCATCTCAAACAAGGAGAAGACTGATCAGAGATGCAGCCAAGAGGCCCATGATCACTCTGGATGAACTGCAGATAACTACAGCTGAGGTGGGAGAGTCTGTCCATAGGACAACAATCAGTCGTGCACTGCACAAATCTGGCCTTTATGGAAGAGTGGCAAGAAGAAAGCCATTTCTCAAAGATATCCATAAAAAGTCTGGTTTAAAGTTTGCCACAAGCCACCTGGGAGACACACCAAACATGTGGAAGAAGGTGCTCTGGTCAGATGAAACCAAAATGGAACTTTTTGGCCACAATGCAAAAGGATATGTTTGGCGTAAAAGCAACACAGCTCATCACCCTGAACACACCATCCCCACTGTCAAACATGGTGGTGGCAGCATCATGCTTTGGGCCTGCTTTTCTTCAGCAGGGACAGGGAAGATGGCTAACATTGATGGGAAGATGGATGGAGCCAAATACAGGACCATTCTGGAAGAAAACCTGTTGGAGTCTGCAAAAGACCTGAGACTGGGATGGAGATTTATCTTCCAACAGGACAATGATCCAAAACATAAAGCCAAATCTACAATGGAATGGTTCACAAATAGACGTATCCAGGTGTTAGATCCATCCAACCTCACTGAGATCGAGCTGTTTTGCAAGGAAGAATGGGAAAGAATTCCAGTCTCTCGATGTGCAAAACTGATAGAGACATACCCCAAGCGACTTGCAGCTGTCCATCCATCCATCCATTTTCTACCCTTTAATCCATTTCTGGGTCAGGGGGGTGGCAGTCAGAGATGCCACCCAAGTCTCATAGCACCAGCCCCTCACTGACCCTCTGCAGGTGGTGAGTCCACAGGAGGCGACTTGCAGCTGTAATTGCAGCAAAAGGTGGCGCTACAAAGTATTAGCGCAAGGGGGCCGAATAATATTGCATGCCCCACTTTTCAGTTTTTTATTTGTTCAAAAAGTTTAAATCATCCAATAAATTTCGTTCCACTTCACGATTGTGTCCCACTTGTTGTTGATTCTTGACAAAAAATTAAATTTTTATATCTTTATGTTTGAAGCCTGAAATGTGGCGAAATGTTGAAAGGTTCAAGGGGGCCGAATACTGTATACACTGTATATTGTCCCAGGGCCCGAGCCGTAAATGATCACCTGCTGTGCACTGCTCTCCTCACTGGTCGACGGCTTCTTGGTGGTGGAGGTCTTGGTGGTTCTGGTGGTTCTGGTGGGTCTGGTGGGTCTGGTGGGTCTGGTGGGTCTGGGGTGTGGTCTCTGTGGTCGGCCTGGAGCAGGTCTGGGAGGAGCTGGTCTCTGTTGGGAGCCGGAGCTCTGGGGTCTGTTGCTGGGGCGACGGCAGGTGGGGGCGGGGCCAGAGCATAGGGGCGGAGTCAGGCTGTGGTTGAAGCGTGCGCTCGCCATACACACGGCGGTGGTGCGGTCGCACACACACTGCAGCTTGTCACACGCCGTCACGCCCACACCTGAGGACACAGGTTACACATACTATAAAGCCTCACACACATGGTCCCAATAAGTACTGGGACAAAAACAATGAAGAGAAGAAAAGTAAAAATACAAATATACCAAAATACTGATAATATTCATAAAAGGTAAAGCTTCGTAACAAGTCACAGAGTCTCCTGGAACAGGTTTTGCTGCTGTTCCACAGTCGCTGCTAAAAGCTGCTGACCTGTGTCAGCTGCTCACCCGTGTCAGCTGCTCACCCGTGTCAGCTGCTGACCCGTGTTAGCTGCTCACCCGTGTCAGCTGCTCACCCGTGTCAGCTGCTCACCCGTGTCAGCTGCTCACCCGTGTCAGCTGCTGACCCGTGTCAGCTGCTCACCGTGTCAGCTGCTCACCCGTGTCAGCTGCTGACCCGTGTTAGCTGCTCACCCGTGTCAGCTGCTGACCCGTGTTAGCTGCTCACCCGTGTCAGCTGCTCACCCGTGTCAGATGCTCACCCGTGTCAGCTGCTCACCCGTGTCAGCTGCTCACCCGTGTCAGCTGCTCACCCGTGTCAGCTGCTCACCCGTGTCAGCTGCTCACCCGTGTCAGCTGCCAACCCGTGTCAGCTGCTCACCCGTGTCAGCTGCCAACCCGTGTCAGCTGCTCACCCGTGTCAGCTGCCAACCCGTGTCAGCTGCTCACCCGTGTCAGCTGCTCACCCGTGTCAGCTGCCGACCCGTGTCAGCTGCCGCCCGTGTCTGACTTAAAGCTGGGGGACCTAACTTTAAGTCTGTTTCTGTGGTAGTGACACTGACTTAAAGCTCGGGGACCTAAAACACTCACACTTGGGTTTTCCTCCGTCGCAGGAGACCTCAGCGCTTAGACTGCGCTCTGCTCTGCAGCCCATGGTCACGATCTGCTGAAGGCAACACTGGTGGAAGAAGCAGCACCTGCAACAGACACCATCAACACACACCATCAACACAGACACTATCACAGACACCATCACAGACACCATCACAGACACCATCAACACAGACACACTCACAGACACCATCACAGACACTATCACAGACACCATCACAGACACACTCACAGACACCATCAACACTGACACCGACACCCTGAACTATTGTTCTGACTGAGATTCGAACCCAGGACCTTCTTGCTGTGAAGAGAGAGTGCTAACCACTCAGTCACCTCAATTTAATCTGTTTTCATTCAGTTTAAGATCAGTGTCTATCTTAACTCACCGGGGTCTCACTCACCGGGGTCTCACTCACTGGGGTCTCACTCACTGGGGTCTCACTCACTGGGGTCTCACTCACTGGGGTCTCACTCACTGGGGTCTCACTCACTGGGGTCTCACTCACTGGGGTCTCACTCACCGGGGTCTCACTCACTGGGGTCTCACTCACCGGGGTCTCACTCACTGGGGTCTCACTCATCGGGGTCTCACTCACTGGGGTCTCACTCACTGGGGTCTCACTCACTGGGGTCTCACTCACTGGGGTCTCATCGGGGTCTCACTCACCGGGGTCTCACTCACTGGGGTCTCACTCACTGGGGTCTCATCGGGGTCTCACTCACCGGGGTCTCACTCACTGGGGTCTCACTCACCGGGGTCTCACTCACCGGGGTCTCACTCACTGGGGTCTCACTCATCGGGGTCTCACTCACTGGGGTCTCACTCACTGGGGTCTCACTCACCGGGGTCTCACTCACTGGGGTCTCACTCATCGGGGTCTCACTCACTGGGGTCTCACTCACTGGGGTCTCACTCATCGGGGTCTCACTCACTGGGGTCTCACTCACTGGGGTCTCACTCACTGGGGTCTCACTCACTGGGGTCTCATCGGGGTCTCACTCACCGGGGTCTCACTCACTGGGGTCTCACTCACCGGGGTCTCACTCACTGGGGTCTCACTCACCGGGGTCTCACTCACTGGGGTCTCACTCACCGGTCCAGCTGGTCCCGGGGGGTCCCGGCCCCCTGCTGGCCGCAGTAGCAGCCGTACATCTCGTACTCGTGCGGACAGCGGCCACTGGCGCAGAGCAACATCTGTCCCAACCCCTCCAGATGTTTTACAGGACGGCCATCTTTACTGTAGACTGTGAGGGAGGGGCTACACTCTGCAACACACACAACACACACACACATCTTTACTGTAGACTGTGAGGGAGGGGCTACACTCTGCAACACACACAACACACACACACATCTTTACTGTAGACTGTGAGGGAGGGGCTACACTCTGCAACACACACAACACACACACACATCTTTACTGTAGACTGTGAGGGAGGGGCTACACTCCGCAACACACACAACACAACACAACATACACACACAGAGAGTGGGTGTGTTGGGGGTCAGGTTGTACCTGTGATATCTGGCTGCAGCTGGATGTCCGTCAGACCGACCGACTGCAGTAAGGACCAAGCAAAGAAGGGCACACTCCTCTTCCTCATCTCTGACCACAACAACACAGAGTCAGGACCACAACAACACAGAGTCAGGACCATAACAACACAGAGTCAGGACCACAACAACACAGAGTCAGGACCATAACAACACAGAGTCAGGACCACAACAACACAGAGTCAGGACCATAACAACACAGAGTCAGGACCACAACAACACAGAGTCAGGACCATAACAACACAGAGTCAGGACCATAACAACACAGAGTCAGGACCACAACAACACAGAGTCAGGACCATAACAACACAGAGTCAGGACCATAACAACACAGAGTCAGGACCACAACAACACAGAGTCAGGACCATAACAACACAGAGTCAGGACCATAACAACACAGAGTCAGGACCATAACAACACAGAGTCAGGACCATAACAACACAGAGTCAGGCAAACAACACAAGTCAGGGCCAAACAACACAGAGTCAGGACCAACAACCAGAGTCAGACCAAACAACACAGAGTCAGACCACAACAACACAGAGTCAGACACAACAACACAGAGTCAGGACCAACAACACAGAGTCAGGACCACAACAACACAGAGTCAGGACCACAACAACACAGAGTCAGGACCACAACAACACAGAGTCAGGACCACAACACACAGTCAGGACCACAACAACACAGACAGACCACAACAACACAAAAAGAGTCAGGACCACAACAACACAGAGTCAGGACCATAACAACACTTCTCCGCAGACTGTGTTTTACCTCCAGCCTCCAAACATGGAGGCTCTTTGTCGTTTCCGTCTCTGTTCTCCTCGTCTTCCAGCTCACCTTCTGCTTTGTCCTCCTCTTCCTCGTGGTCCTCCTCCTCCTCTTTCTCCTTGTTCTCCTCTTTCTCCTTGACCTCCTGTTGGAGCTTCTGGTCCTCTCCTCGGTGTGTTGGGCTTGTTGTAGTCAGAGCTGTAACAAGTGGAACGATATAGAGTCATCGCTAAAAACAGTTTTAACATCTGAGGGTCTGAGGTCTGAGGGTCTGAGGGTCTGAGGTCTGAGGGTCTGAGGGTCTGAGGGTCTGAGGGTCTGAGGGTCTGAGGGTCTGAGGTCTGAGGGTCTGAGGGTCTGAGGGTCTGAGGGTCTGAGGGTCTGAGGGTCTGAGGGTCTGAGGGTCTGAGGGTCTGAGGGTCTGAGGGTCTGAGGTCTGAGGTCTGAGGGTCTGAGGGTCTGAGGGTCTGAGGTCTGAGGGTCTGAGGTCTGAGGGTCTGAGGGTCTGAGGTCTGAGGTCTGAGGGTCTGAGGTCTGAGGGTCTGAGGTCTGAGGGTCTGAGGGTCTGAGGGTCTGAGGGTCTGAGGTCTGAGGGTCTGAGGGTCTGAGGTCTGAGGTCTGAGGGTCTGAGGGTCTGGGTCTGAGGTCTGAGGGTCTGAGGGTCTGAGGGTCTGAGGGTCTGAGGGTCTGAGGGTCTGAGGGTCTGAGGGTCTGAGGTCTGAGGGTCTGAGGGTCTGAGGGTCTGAGGGTCTGAGGGTCTGAGGGTCTGAGGTCTGAGGGTCTGAGGGTCTGAGGGTCTGAGGTCTGAGGTCTGAGGGTCTGAGGGTCTGAGGTCTGAGGGTCTGAGGGTCTGAGGTCTGAGGTCTGAGGGTCTGAGGGGTCTGAGGGTCTGAGGTCTGAGGTCTGAGGTCTGAGGTCTGAGGTCTGAGGTCTGAGGGTCTGAGGTCTGAGGGTCTGAGGGTCTGAGGAGGGTCTGAGGGTCTGAGGGTCTGAGGGTCTGAGGTCTGAGGGTCTGAGGGTCTGAGGTCTGAGGGTCTGAGGGTCTGAGGGTCTGAGGGTCTGAGGTCTGAGGTCTGAGGTCTGAGGGTCTGAGGGTCTGAGGGTCTGAGGTCTGAGGGTCTGAGGTCTGAGGGTCTGAGGGTCTGAGGTCTGAGGTCTGAGGGTCTGAGGTCTGAGGGTCTGAGGTCTGAGGGTCTGAGGGTCTGAGGTCTGAGGGTCTGAGGGTCTGAGGTCTGAGGGTCTGAGGTCTGAGGTCTGAGGGTCTGAGGTCTGAGGTCTGAGGGTCTGAGGGTCTGAGGTCTGAGGTCTGAGGGTCTGAGGGTCTGAGGTCTGAGGTCTGAGGTCTGAGGGTCTGAGGTCTGAGGGTCTGAGGTCTGAGGGTCTGAGGTCTGAGGTCTGAGGGTCTGAGGTCTGAGGTCTGAGGGTCTGAGGTCTGAGGGTCTGAGGTCTGAGGTCTGAGGGTCTGAGGTCTGAGGTCTGAGGGTCTGAGGGTCTGAGGGTCTGAGGTCTGAGGTCTGAGGGTCTGAGGTCTGAGGGTCTGAGGGTCTGAGGTCTGAGGGTCTGAGGTCTGAGGGTCTGAGGTCTGAGGTCTGAGGTCTGGGTCTGAGGGTCTGAGGGTCTGAGGTCTGAGGGTCTGAGGTCTGAGGTCTGAGGGTCTGAGGTCTGAGGTCTGAGGTCTGAGGGTCTGAGGTCTGAGGGTCTGAGGTCTGAGGTCTGAGGGTCTGAGGTCTGAGGGTCTGAGGGTCTGAGGGTCTGAGGTCTGAGGGTCTGAGGGTCTGAGGGTCTGAGGTCTGAGGGTCTGAGGGTCTGAGGGTCTGAGGTCTGAGGTCTGAGGGTCTGAGGGTCTGAGGGTCTGAGGTCTGAGGTCTGAGGGTCTGAGGTCTGAGGGTCTGAGGTCCTGAGGGTCTGAGGGTCTGAGGTCTGAGGGTCTGAGGTCTGAGGTCTGAGGTCTGAGGGTCTGAGGTCTGAGGGTCTGAGGGTCTGAGGGTCTGAGGGTCTGAGGTCTGAGGTCTTGGGTCTGAGGGTCTGAGGGTCTGAGGGTCTGAGGTCTGAGGGTCTGAGGTCTGAGGGTCTGAGGGTCTGAGGTCTGAGGTCTGAGGGTCTGAGGTCTGAGGGTCTGAGGGTCTGAGGGTCTGAGGTCTGAGGTCTGAGGTCTGAGGTCTGAGGTCTGAGGTCTGAGGTCTGAGGGTCTGAGGGTCTGAGGGTCTGAGGGTCTGAGGGTCTGAGGTCTGAGGGTCTGAGGGTCTGAGGGTCTGAGGGTCTGAGGGTCTGAGGGTCTGAGGGTCTGAGGGTCTGAGGTCTGAGGTCTGAGGGTCTGAGGTCTGAGGTCTGAGGTCTGAGGGTCTGAGGGTCTGAGGTCTGAGGTCTGAGGTCTGAGGGTCCTGAGGGTCTGAGGTCTGAGGGTCTGAGGTCTGAGGTCTGAGGGTCTGAGGTCTGAGGGTCTGAGGGTCTGAGGGTCTGAGGTCTGAGGGTCTGAGGGTCTGAGGTCTGAGGGTCTGAGGGTCTGAGGTCTGAGGTCTGAGGGTCTGAGGTCTGAGGTCTGAGGTCTGAGGGTCTGAGGGTCTGAGGTCTGAGGTCTGAGGGTCTGAGGGTCTGAGGGTCTGAGGGTCTGAGGTCTGAGGGTCTGAGGGTCTGAGGGTCTGAGGTCTGAGGTCTGAGGGTCTGAGGTCTGAGGTCTGAGGGTCTGAGGGTCTGAGGGTCTGAGGTCTGAGGGTCTGAGGGTCTGAGGTCTGAGGTCTGAGGTCTGAGGGTCTGAGGGTCTGAGGGTCTGAGGTCTGAGGGTCTGAGGTCTGAGGTCTGAGGGTCTGAGGGTCTGAGCTGGGTCCTGAGGGTCTGAGGTCTGAGGGTCTGAGGGTCTGAGGTCTGAGGTCTGAGGGTCTGAGGGTCTGAGGTCTGAGGTCTGAGGGTCTGAGGTCTGAGGGTCTGAGGGTCTGAGGTCTGAGGGTCTGAGGGTCTGAGGGTCTGAGGTCTGAGGTCTGAGGTCTGAGGGTCTGAGGGTCTGAGGTCTGAGGTCTGAGGGTCTGAGGGTCTGAGGGTCTGAGGTCTGAGGGTCTGAGGGTCTGAGGGTCTGAGGGTCTGAGGGTCTGAGGTCTGAGGGTCTGAGGTCTGAGGTCTGAGGGTCTGAGGTCTGAGGGTCTGAGGGTCTGAGGGTCTGAGGGTCTGAGGTCTGAGGGTCTGAGGTCTGAGGGTCTGAGGTCTGAGGGTCTGAGGTCTGAGGTCTGAGGGTCTGAGGTCTGAGGTCTGGGTCTGAGGGTCTGAGGTCTGAGGGTCTGAGGTCTGAGGGTCTGAGGTCTGAGGGTCTGAGGTCTGAGGGTCTGAGGTCTGAGGGTCTGAGGGTCTGAGGTCTGAGGGTCTGAGGTCTGAGGGTCTGAGGTCTGAGGTCTGAGGGTCTGAGGTCTGAGGTCTGAGGTCTGAGGGTCTGAGGTCTGAGGGTCTGAGGTCTGAGGGTCTGAGGGTCTGAGGGTTCTGGGTCTGAGGTCTGAGGTCTGAGGTCTGAGGTCTGAGGGTCTGAGGGTCTGAGGGTCTGAGGTCTGAGGGTCTGAGGTCTGAGGGTCTGAGGTCTGAGGGTCTGAGGTCTGAGGGTCTGATGGTCTGAGGTCTGAGGGTCTGAGGGTCTGAGGTCTGAGGGTCTGAGGTCTGAGGGTCTGAGGTCTGAGGTCTGAGGGTCTGAGGTCTGAGGTCTGAGGGTCTGAGGTCTGAGGGGTCTGAGGGTCTGAGGGTCTGAGGGTCTGAGGTCTGAGGTCTGAGGGTCTGAGGTCTGAGGGTCTGAGGTCTGAGGGTCTGAGGGTCTGAGGTCTGTAGGTCTGAGGGTCTGAGGTCTGAGGGTCTGAGGTCTGAGGGTCTGAGGGTCTGAGGGTCTGAGGTCTGAGGGTCTGAGGGTCTGAGGTCTGAGGTCTGAGGTCTGAGGTCTGAGGGTCTGAGGTCTGAGGTCTGAGGTCTGAGGGTCTGAGGTCTGAGGTCTGAGGGTCTGAGGTCTGAGGGTCTGAGGTCTGAGGTCTGAGGTCTGAGGTCTGAGGGTCTGAGGTCTGAGGGTCTGAGGGTCTGAGGGTCTGAGGTCTGAGGTCTGAGGGTCTGAGGTCTGAGGTCTGAGGTCTGAGGGTCTGAGGGTCTGAGGTCTGAGGGTCTGAGGTCTGAGGGTCTGAGGGTCTGAGGTCTGAGGGTCTGAGGTCTGAGGGTCTGAGGTCTGAGGGTCTGAGGGTCTGAGGGTCCTGAGGGTCTGAGGGTCTGAGGGTCTGAGGTCTGAGGGTCTGAGGGTCTGAGGTCTGAGGGTCTGAGGGTCTGAGGTCTGAGGGTCTGAGGGTCTGTGAGGTCTGAGGTCTGAGGTCTGAGGGTCTGAGGGTCTGAGGTCTGAGGGTCTGAGGTCTGAGGGTCTGAGGGGTCTGAGGTCTGAGGGTCTGAGGTCTGAGGTCTGAGGGTCTGAGGTCTGAGGGTCTGAGGTCTGAGGGTCTGAGTCTGAGGGTCTGAGGTCTGAGGTCTGAGGTCTGAGGGTCTGAGGTCTGAGGTCTGAGGGTCTGAGGTCTGAGGGTCTGAGTCTGAGGGTCTGAGGGTCTGAGGTCTGAGGTCTGAGGTCTGAGGTCTGAGGGTCTGAGGTCTGAGGGTCTGAGGTCTGAGGGTCTGAGGGTCTGAGGTCTGAGGGTCTGAGGGTCTGAGGGTCTGAGGTCTGAGGGTCTGAGGGTCTGAGGGTCTGAGGGTCTGAGGTCTGAGGGTCTGAGGGTCTGAGGTCTGAGGTCTGAGGTCTGAGGGTCTGAGGGTCTGAGGTCTGAGGTCTGAGGTCTGAGGTCTGAGGGTCTGAGGTCTGAGGTCTGAGGGTCTGAGGTCTGAGGGTCTGAGGGTCTGAGGTCTGAGGTCTGAGGGTCTGAGGTCTGAGGGTCTGAGGTCTGAGGGTCTGAGGTCTGAGGGTCTGAGGTCTGAGGGTCTGAGGTCTGAGGGTCTGAGGTCTGAGGGTCTGAGGGTCTGAGGGTCTGAGGGTCTGAGGTCTGAGGGTCTGAGGTCTGATGGGTCTGAGGGTCTGAGGGTCTGAGGGTCTGAGGGTCCTGAGGTCTGAGGTCTGAGGGTCTGAGGTCTGAGGTCTGAGGTCTGAGGGGTCTGAGGGTCTGAGGGTCTGAGGGTCTGAGGTCTGAGGGTCTGAGGTCTGAGGTCTGAGGGTCTGAGGGTCTGAGGTCCTGAGGGTCTGAGGTCTGAGGGTCGAGGTCTGAGGG